GTGTGTGTGTGTGTTGTGCATTTGTTGTACACAAGCCAGAGGAGGCTTTGGGTGTTTCCCTGTATCTCTCTGCCTTATTCCTTTGAGGCAGGATCTCTCACTGAACTTGGAGTTCTTGTTTCCCAGATAGTCTGGCAGCCAGGAGGCCCCAATCATCCTCCATTCCCCCACAGCCCTGGAGTTAAAGGATAGCAGGTGCTTTTAACCACCAAGCCTCCTCTCCAGCCCCAGCAAGCATTCTGTCAGAAGGATTTTGGATATTTGTTTATACATAGAATAAACAAGGCCCAGAGTTGGCACAGCTTGGCCCTAATTGTGTCCTTATCTGGCACAGTGACATTGGCTCCAGCACTGTCTAGGCTAGATGTCACTTTGAACTCAGGACAGGCGGCTTGCCAGCCACCTGGTGGTCAGTGATGCAAGTTGTCTCCCCCTGGCCTGGGACCTCCAGTTGTGTCTGTGCAGGGTGCTGCCTCCCAGCAAGCCTGGAAACTCACCTGTGACCATCTGGGGCAGAGCTCTGTCTCAAAACAACAACAACAAAACAACCAACCAAGCCAGGTGTAGTGGCACACTCCTGGAATCCCAAAACTTGGGGAGGCAGAGGCAGGCAGATCTCTGTGAGTTCAAGGCCAGCCTGGTCTACAAAGCGAGCTGAGGACAGCCAAGGTTGCAGAGAAACCCTGTCTCAAAACAAAACAAACAACCCCCCCCCCCAAACAACCGACCAACCAATCAATCTGGAGACATGGCTCAATAGCACTTGATCAACCTGACAACCTGAACTTGGTACCCAGCGTCCACGGTGGAAGGACAGAACCAACTCCTGCAAACTGAGACGCCTCTGAGACTTCCACAGGCCATTTCATTACATATGAACTCTTGCATGCACACACACACAAAGTAAGTTTTAAAACATAAAAATAAAAGCAAAAGAAGAAAAGGGCTGGGACTGCAGCTCAGTTGGTAGAGTGCTTATCTACGCAGACATGAAACCCTGGGTTCGAACCTTACACAAGCATGATAGTGCATTTCTGAAACTCTGTAGTCAGGAGGGGAGGCAGGATCGGAAGCACAAGGTTACCCTCCAATACGGAGCAAGTTTGAGGCCACCCTGGGCTACATGAGAACCTGTTTCAAAAAGAAAAATAAGAAATAAAGAAAAAATAAAAAAGACAATTGCTGTACGACCCTTCTTCTTAGGGGTCCCTAGAGCAGGCAGGGTCATAAAGGTAGAAAGAGTGATGAGAACTGCTGAGCTCTCAGGGAGAAAGAAATGGGAAACTGTTTTTCTCATTGGTACAGAGTTTCAATTTTGTTTTATATTTGTTCTGGCAGGAGAACTAGTTTTGGAGGAGGAAATCATACACTTCATTTTGAACATTAAAAAAATCAGTTAAAATGAATGTTAGGCAAAGGGGATTGATGGGTTTTGTTTTTTGTTTTTGTTTTTGTTTTGTTTGTTTTTTGAGACAGTGTCTTACTACTTAGCCCCGGCTGTCCTAGAACCTGATGTGTAGACCAGGCTAGCCTTGAACACACAGGGATCCACCTGTCTCTGCCTGGAGTACATAAACCACTAAGCCCAGCTTTACTGGAAAGTATAAGAACGACCAAATTCCTTTGAGGAAGAACCATGTTTAGAAGTGTGAGTCATAAGAACCCACAGAGCTATGAGGAAGTAAAATCATATCGATCAATGACATGGGAGGCGGGGCTCCTTCCCATCCAGGCTCTTTCTATTCTGTCCAGATGGTAAACACAATGTCACGTCTTAATGAAGGGCTTCGGTTTTGATGGGAAAATTCCAGGGCCACACGGTGGGGACATTTGTGCAACAATGCGAGTGGGCAGGGCACTACGGAATTGGTCCTTCAAAGTGGCTGCCCCGGACCCGGAGGCTGCACACGTGAGGCCCGGCACTCAGGAGGTGGTGGAGGCAGAAGGATCAGAAGTTCAAGGTTGTGGGTCTAGGAGATGGCTCAGTGGGTAAGGTAAAGGCCGGAACTGTCAAGCTTGACAACCAACAGTCCGATCCCTGAGTCCCACAGGGTGGAAGGGGAGAACGGACTCACACAGCAAAAATAAACACAAGTTCAAGGTTCTTTTAGGCAAAATAGTAAACTCAAGGCCAGCATGGGATACAAGGGACTTGTCCCAAATAACAAGAGGGACCGGGGAGACGGCCCTTCTGTTGGTAGCACTGGCTGCTCTTGCCTAGGACCCAGGTTTGACTCCCGGCACCCTCATGGTGGCTCGCAAACATCTGAAACTAGTTCCAGAGTTGCTCTCTTCTGACCCCTTCAGGTACCAAGGATGTGTGCCATACACACACATGCAGGCAGAATGCGGCGCGCGCTCACACACTCACACACACACACACACACACACACACACACACACACAGTCTTTAAAATAAACGAATAATAATGAAGAGTTAAGAGAGTAGGTGGCAATTCAATGAGTTTTACAATTTTTAAAACTTGCATAGATTGGAGGTATGGCTTAGTGTTGAAAGATTGGCCCCAAGTATTCGGTAACAAGAGAGAGAGAGAGAGAGAACACAAACTGAGCTACTAACATGGGTTTAAATAAAAAGACCAAATCTGGGGGGGGGGGCCTCTGGGATGCAATCCATTAAGCCTCCCCAGGTTCAGAGACGAGCCACCCAGCCTGCCTTCCTTAGACATCACATAGCATCAGAGCTTTGGGCTCAAGGTCCAGCTTTGTCATGTTCCGTGACACTAGGCTTACTGTCATCAAGACTCCTTGCTTGTGGGGAAGCAGAGATAAAATCAAGGCCTCACAGGACTGTGGTGGCTGCTGCTGTCTTGCAGAGACTGTAGTCAGGGACTAGCATGGAGAAGAGGGGACATTACATCTGGCATGTGGCCTAGAAATCCCATCGTTGGGGCAGAATGTCTTCTTGAACCCTCCTACCTAGGCCCTGAGTTGAGGGGCTCGTTCTGTGCCATGGTGGCAGGGCAATTGCTTGCCTTCCACTTATCATTCCAGCGTTGAAGTCCGGCCAGTCGCTGAGGATTCCCTGGGCAGGTGTGGAGGTCAGACCTTCCCAAGGTCCTAGGAATGATGTGACAGTACCCTGAGCTAAACAAGTGACATCACCAAGATAGGGGTGGGGTCACCAAGCTTGAGCCTCAGACATAGAGGAGGAACCAGCCCAAGCCAGGAGCCATCCGGAAAAGTGATTTTTCTTGCCTTGATTTGGTGAGAGTGTTCATTTTCTGCTTCTGACCCATTCTGGTGACTGTTCTTGTCAACTTCAAGCTTTTTAATTTTTATTTTGATTTACATATATGAGACATGGTCTTGCTATGTACTCCTGGCTGGCCTAGAACTCTCTAGAGACCCCAGTGGTCTTGAATTTTCTATGATTCTTTTACTTCTGGCTTCCACTTTTGAGCTTTAAGATTTTTCTTTATGATCATCACGGTCTGTGTGCGTGTGTATGCATGCATACCGTGGCACACTGTGTATACATAGAGATCAGAGGATAATTTCCACAAGTCAGTTTTCCTTTTAGTGCGTCCCAGGAATTAAACTCAGGCCATCAGGTTCTGTGACAAATTCTTTCAAATGCTGTAATCTCTTCACTGACCTCTTGTTTTCTCTTTTGTTTTTTGTTTTGTCTTTAAAAATCAAAAACAAACAAACAACAGGACCTCAAACTTGTTACATTTGACCTTGAACTCCTGATCTTCCTGCCTCCAGTTCAAAGGTGCTGGGATTAGAGGTTTCCATCACTGTTCCTGGCTTTTGAGGTTTTCATATCGTTGTTTTTTGTTTTTGTTTTTGTTTTTGTTTTGTTTTGTTTTTGTCTGTTGAAACTTGCATCAATGAGGTCTGTGCTCTGGTTTCCCAACAGACTCCTCTGTCTGTCCTTTTTTCTTTCTTTCCTTCTTCAACACATCTTTCTTTCCCAGAGGAAGGTGAAGTAACAAGCCTAGGGCCTCAAGTGAGGATTTTGGTCCTGGCCAAGGATCTTCCCCTAACACTCTGCTCAGTGGGGCCAGCCTCAAGCCGGTGAGAATGGTGGCTTTCCTGGAGGTGCTCTGCTGCCCCCTGCTGGAACATCACTCTAAAGCCACCCCAAGGAGTAAGGCGTCCTAGGCAAGAAGGGGCCTCGTGCCTGCAATTTCTACATGAGCCCCAGCAAATGAAGTTGAGGAAAGGAGAACAAGAAACACCTACCAAAGTAGACTCGAACTCCAAGGAGATGGCGCCCAGGGCGTTCTCCAGCTGCTCCTTTCTGCTGATGTCCATGATGACAACCTCGGTGGGCTCGCTGATTTTGCGGATATCCCACCACATGACCTGGAATGGAAGGGTGACTGAGAACCTAAAGAACCTGACTTTTGACTCCCCTCCCAACCATCCAGGGGCTCAAAGGATATTGGAACAATGAGAACAAACATATTCTTTTTATAATAATTTTTTTTAATATTAATCACAGGTTATTTACTTTGTATCCCAGCAGTAGCCCCATCATTCATTCCCTCCCAATCCTACTCTCCCTCCCTCATCTCCTCCCCACCTGTTTCCAAGTCCACTGATAGGGGAGGTCCTCCTCCCCTTCCATCTGACCCTAGCTTATCAGGTATCTTCAGGACTGGCTGTAATGTCCTCATCTGTGGCCTAGCAAGGCTGCTCCTCCCTTGGGGGAGGGAAGCCAGCCATTGAGTTCATGTCAGAAATAGTCCCTGTTCCCCTTACTAGGAAACCCATTTGGTTACTGAGCTACCATGGGCTATATCCGAGCAGGGGTTCTAGGTTATTTCCATACATGGTCCTTGGTTGGAGAAACAATCTCATAAAAGACCCCTGTGCCCTGATATATTTGGTCCTTATGGAGTTCCTGTCCTCTCCAGGTCTTACTAACTCCCCCTTTCTTTCATATGATCCCCTGCACTCTGCCGAAGGTTTGGTTATGAGTCTTAGTATCTGCTTTGATACACTGCTAGGTAGAGTCTTTCAGAGGCCATCTGTGGTAGGCTCCTGTCCTGTTACTTGTTTTCTCCTACATCCAATGTCCATCCCATTTCTCTTTCTAAGTGAGGATTGATCATCTTACCCTGGGTCCTCTTTCTTGTTTATCTTCTTTAGGTGTATGGATTTCAGTATGTTTATCCTATCTAATAGGTCTATATAAGTCAGTATATACCATGTGTGTCTTTCTGCTTTGGGGATACCTCACTCAGGATGATCGTTTCTAGGTCCCACCATTTGCCTGCAAATTTCACGATTTCCTCGTTTTTAATTGCTGAGTAGTATTCCATTCAAACATATTCTTAAGATTCAAATGCAAAGTCAGATGCAGGCACAAGAAGCTGGATTCTACAAGACTCTCCTATATAGCAATATCTAATAAGGTGAAAACTGCACACAGGATCCAGGCTTGGTAATCCATGTCTGTAATCCCAGCGCTCAGTGTTCACAAATCTTGATGCACTAGCCTACTCCCAGGCTGCTTAGGCACCTGTGATGCCATCATTGCTCACTGATGCCAGGGGCCAGGGATAAAAGGACCCCTGCCTCCTCTCTTTCCCTTTAAAGGGAGAGAGGGCTGGAGGTATATTTCAGTGACAGAACGCTTGGAGGTAGAGTTCAGTGGTAGAACACTTGCTTCCCATGCATGAGGCCCTGGGTTCCTGCCCCAGCACTGGCTGCACAATAAAACGAGCAATGGTGTTCTCTGGGTGGGCCCTCCTCTTCCCTCCAGGGTCCTGTCAGGTGGTACCTGCCCATCTGTGGACGCTGAGAAGCACTCGGTGCCTGTCTTGGACTGCAACCAGATGGTGCCATACACTGGGTCTCGGTGGCTGAACTCGATAGTGGACAGCTCTGCCACCAGGCTGCCCTTCCGGGTGTCCCAGCAGGCTGGCGGGGGTGGGGGGAGGAAAGAAGATGAGGCTGTGAACTCAAGTGCCCAGAAAACCAAACCAAACCTGTAGTAAAGCTTTCCCGTGGCTGAGGAGAGTTGAGACTGAGTTTGAGGCCAGCCTGGTCATCACAGCGAGTTCCGGACCAGTTAGACCCTGTCTCAAAATACATAAAAATCAGACAAAACAAAAAAGAATTCCTCAGACGACATGTGGGACCTATAGTAGATACTGGGCACTGTCATCACCCACCCGCCTGCTGTTTTTACTGGTATTTGGCAGTGGGAGGTGGGCGTTCATTTGCTTTGTCTTCTTTTCTTGAGACAGGGTCTCACATAGCCCAGGCTGGCCTCAGACTTGCTATATAACTAAGGATGGCCTTCAATAGAGTCTCCTGCCTCTACCTCCAGAGCGCACTGCGTTTACAGACTTGGGCTCCACCATGGTGTGTGGAAAGGGCCCTCCTTGGTTGGTGGTTTTCTGTTGCCGTGTGGCTTTAAGAACTTGGAGAATCTTCACTTAGTGTCTGGGGTAACTGGTCCATGCTTGTGGACCATGTACATTCATATTTGACTCTAGAACTGTCTCTCCTTTCCCTTTCAGGTGAGAGAGGTGTGTATATGTGTGTGTGTGTGTTTGTGTGTGTGTGTGTGTGTGTGTGTGAAGGAGGCGTGGTTCCTTGCGCAGTAAAGGAGCCAAGCTGGAAGAATGCTACTACTGAGTTTGGAAATTACCTGGATTTTTAGAATCGGGGCTATATTCAAACCAGCCTTCTCCCAGCCCCACACAATCTATGTAGAGACCTCTGGAGTGCAGGCTTCATTTATCATGCCCCCGCCGTGTTCTGAGCAACACTCTATGTCCTAGCGAAGCTTACGGGAATGGACCAGGCTTAGTACTGGGAGAGGTAAGAGTGGGGACAGGAAGTAGAGAGGCTGGTCTGGTCAAGGAAGGTCTGAGGGGGAAAGCGGCAGGGAGAAAAGGCAGAGCTAGCCAGGCCGGGGGGGTGAGGTCAGGATCCACAGCAGAGAAGCACAGGCAGAGACAACCCCCTCCCCAAGGTGAGAATGTGGGCAGATCTTCCAGCTGATGCAAGGGCAGCTGAAGAGACGGCTCCGTGGGTAGAACTTCTTGTGTTAAAGCCTGATGACCTGGGTTTGATCCCCAAAACCCATCCTGGTAGCCACAACCATCTGGAAATCCCCGTTCCAGTGGGCCGCACACCTTTTCTGGCAGCTAGACATACACACGGCATTCACACATACGTGCAGGCAAAAGAGTCACACACAAAATAAGATAAATAAATATATAAATTAATAATGATGATGATGATGGTGGGGCCGGTGAGACGGCTCACCAGGTAAAGGGGCCCACCACCGCCCGACAGCCCGAGTTTAACCCCTGCGACCCATGGGCTGGTAAAGATCCAACCCCTCCAAGCTGTCCTCTGACCTGTACATGGACGCTGTGGCATAGGGGCACCCCTTCCCACACAGTAATTTTTTTGGATGTAAATTACAAATAATAATAATAATAATAAAGAGGGCGGGAGGAATGGCTCATGGGTTAAGAGTGCTTGCTGCTCTTACAGAGGACCAGAATTCTGTTCCCAGCACCCACAATGGGCAGCTCCCGACTCCCTGTAACTCCAGCTAAGGAGGACACCCACACACAGACAAACACACACGTCTGATATTTTAAGAGACAAAAGAGAGAGGGGCCTGAGAGTCAGCCCACCGGTTAGGAGCGCTTGCTGCTCTAGCAGAGTGGAGGAGGTTGGTTCCTAGAACCATAGTGGATAGCTCATAACACCTGTATCCAACATCAGATCCAGGGGATCTGATGTCCTCTTCCGACAACCCCCACAAACACATACATATGGCACATGCTCACACAGACATCTGCATGAGCACACACACGCAAACACACACAAACCAGAAGAAATTTTTATGGAGAAAAGAAACTCACGGGAGTGTTCAAGCCTTTATCGTGATCCCGTCTTTGTGCTTTGCCAACAGAGGGGTGAAGCCTGCCTGCTTCCTGCCCTGATGTATCTGGCTTTCACTTCTTCCTGAGGGCTACCAAGGGTGCACATGCTCACTTACCCAGAGTCATTTCCAAGAAAGACTGTTTTGTAAACCAATAAACCTACTTGCTCATGAGTTTTGACCTATTAGCCTCCAAGTCTGGGGCCTGGCAAAGCAGTGCTCGGGAGTGGGTCCTGTGATCCCAGATGTCACTGCTGTTGGGGTCTCCTTCCTATGGTAGCAGGGCCCCAGAGCTGAGCTGTTCTGAGCAAGTGTAAAAAGCTGCTGGAAGGGGTCATGAATAATGAGTGAGGAAGACTGCTGAATAAGTCATGACATCAGCTTGGCTTCGGTCTTTGGCTCAGACAGTGGATAATATGGCAGGGAAATGTATGGAGCCCATAGCTGTGACACAGCCTGGATGTTCCCCAGGTATTAGGTCTGAGAGAGAGGGAGACCAGAACCTTTCCTCAGGAAATCAGGAATTTAAGGTCAGCCTGGGCTACAGAGTAAGACCTTATCTTTAAAACAAAAATACATTAGTTGGCTAGAGAGATGGCATAGTGGCCACGAGTATATACTGTTCCTGCAGAGGACCTGAGTTGGGTTTTCCTACAGCCACATTGGGAGACTCACAACTGCCTGTAACTCTGATGCCCTCTTCTGGCCTTCAGGGTCACTGCACCCAGGTGCACATACCCACACATACACATGATTAAGTAACAAAAGCTAAGATAAAATTAAATCAGAAAAACAAGAGTAATTAAACCCAAAGTAAGGCTAAGCCTAGTGGCTCAGATCTATAATCCCCGAGCTCAGGACTGAGGCAGGAGGATTAACACAAGTTTGAGAGCAGCCTAGGCTTCACAGTGAGTGAGTTCAAGCCCTGTATGTGCTGCATATGGAGACCCTGCCTCACAGAATAAAAATGCTAAAATAATAGTACACACCTTTAATCTAGCACCCAGGAGGCAGAAGCAGGCTGATTTCTGTGGGTCTATATGGTCTACAGAGTGTTCCAGGTCAGCAAAGGCTACACAGTGAGACCCTGTCTCAAACAAACAAAAATAAAAGCTGGATATGGAAAGCAAACCCAGCACCTGGGAGGTAGAGACAGCAGAATCAGCAGCCTGGGTAGCACACACACACACACACACACACACACACACACACAAAACTGCAACACACATACTTGAAACTACCACACACACAAACACACACTTGAAACTACAACATACACACATCTGAAACTACAACACATGCAAACATACACACACACTTGAATCTACAACACACACACACACACACACACACACACACGAAACTACAAAACACACACCAACACCCGAAACTAAATCACACACACATATCTGAAACTACAACACACACACAGACACCTGAAACTACAACATACACACACATGAAACAGAAAATAGAATAAAAATTGAATTAAACATGTAAGTGAAAGATTTATAAAAAAAAAAAACTGATAAATTTAATAAAGCCAGAAGTTGGTTCTTAGAAAACAAAATTGACAAACCTTTTGATTGGCTAAGAGAATTAAAAACAAAACAAAAAAGCCCTCAAGTGACTACAAACATACAAGAAACATGAAAGACAACTTTTGTGTCAATGAACTGGTTAACCTAGATGAAATGGAAAAGTCTTCAGAATAACAGAGGCTGCCAAAGCAGATTCGGAAACAGAAGCCTGGCGTAGCCGTGCACCCGAAATCCCAGCACCTGGGAAGCCAAGGTCAGTTTTGGCTATTTGTGGAGATTAAGTACAGCTCAGGCTACATGAGACTCTGTGTCCAAGGAATACCAAGGGGGAGGAGAAAGAGGCAGCGGGGAAGAAGAGAAAATGCCAAGAGAGCCATAGCAAGTGAAAGGATTGGATTCACTTATTTGCTTCCAATACAGAAAAAGCCCAGGGGCTGAGAGATGTCGCTGGGTGAAGGTGCTTGCTGCCAAGCCTGAGAGCCTGGGTTCAACCCCCAGATCAGGCGTGTTGAAACACGAGAGCTGATCCCCAAGTGCCGTCCTCCCGTTCTCACATACTCACAGGCACACACAAGTGCCCATCCCCCACTCCACCTCCTGCCCTACTGTGTGTAACTGAGCCATCTGGGGGAGCTCAGCTGTTTCCTCTTACAAAAGGATCGCCCCAGCTGGCCTTGCTGACTGCCTATACTGTAACAGAGGGGCGGGAGATCAGGGGGACCCTCACCTGCCCCAACCACCAGTGGTATTTGGCTCTACCCTAAGAACCCTAAGTAGCCTCAGGGAGGGGCTGGAGTGCACAGCCTTGGGGGAAGGGTTGCAGCTATGGGGACGCTCTCACCATGCTGGACAAAGGCTTTGGGGGGGGGGATGTGGCTTGTTGGGGGAAGGAGCTCCCAAACCCCTGTTGGAAACCTCTCCCCTGTGCTCTGTAAGGAAGCCCAGTAAATAAGTAAACAAACAAACAAATGGACATGCCCACATGTTCGTGTGGACACTAGCTGGAGGAAGCGCGTTGCTGAGGGAACAGCTTTACTTCCTGAGGAACTTGCTGCTTCCTGTTGGACCTGATGTGGGAGCCCCTTTGTGAGCTCCTCCCCCAACCAGGGACCAGCGCTCTTCTGCTGCCTTGTTCCATACACCGCCCCCCCCCCCCCCCGCTCCCACCACACCATGATGGACTGTTCTTTCAGGAACTGCCACCCCAAGTACTTTTCCCGGACACCTCTCCCAAGACGGGACTCCACAGTGGCTCTCACGACCCCCCTCTCACCAGCCCTGGTCCTTGACTTTATTTGAACTACAGCTTAAAAATAACCCTACATTTTATTTATTTATTATATATGTTTATATGACATGGCACACCTGTAAAGGACATGTCAGAGGATAACTCTCTGCCCATCACGTGGGTCGCACAGATCAACTCAGGTCATGAGGCATGGGTGTCAGGCACCCTTACCCACCGAGCTATCTCCCCCACCTGAGTTATTTTTGAAACCTTATTTCCTGCTAATGTTAGACTTACCTGCATGACTAGGACTGGAGGGGCCAGCCTAGACTATGAGTGTAACCTTGACTCCTAGGTGACCGCGACGATCAGCTTTCCAAATGAATGACCCACACACTGAGTCCTGGCGGACATGTGTGTGTTGGCAGTGCCCTGCCTGGCTGCTGGCTGGGGCGGGGGTCCCCCTTACCTATCTGCCCATTGTAGCAGCCCCCTAGGAGCACATGGGAATCCTTGGGGTTGTACTCTAGGGTGATGAGAGGAGAAGATGGCTTCAAGGCAATTTCAGGTCTGTTGGGGTTTTCTAGAATGAAGAGGAAAAGAAAAGAAAAGGGAAAAAAAAATCCATCAGGCCTGCCCAGAAAAAGGACAGGACCTATCAGTTTAACCCCTGCTACATGCAGAGGGTAACAAAGATAGCAGAAGAGTCTATCCGTCCCCCAATACACACCCGGGGCCCCCTCCCCAGTCTCTTCTGCCTGAATCTTGGCTAGTGGCTTTATTTGGGGGCTGGAGATCAGGATTGGGGTGTGTGTTCACATACTGAATTCCAGTTCTAGTCCACTCCCCAGGCTTGGTATGAAATGAAAGCTTTCTCCTAAGGTGTAGGGAGTGGAGAAATCCGAGTGAGGGGAGTTCTGTCTGAGTGCAAGTGTGCTTCTGTGCTGTTGACATGGGCACAGCCGTGCCAAGGACCCCGGAACCTCAGGCCCATGGAGGAACTGCAAGGCATCATCCTCCACGTTCCCTGTTGGAAGTGAGGCTCAGAGGGAATGGGAAGGCCTTCCTCGGTGGGCTGAGAGTATTGAGAGTGTGTGCAAAGAATGTCCACCGTAGCTCTCTCCTCACCAGGCTTACGGCCTGAAGACTACTCCCCTACAGAGATCATTCCTACCAAGGTTAGCAGTGAGCTGGCTCAGTAGGTACAGGCACTTGCTGCCCAGGCCAGGTGTGACCCAAGTTCAGTCCTCAGAGGCCGGATAAAGGCGGAAGAAGAGAACTGAGCCCACAAAGAGGTCATCTGACCTCCACGTGTGCGCCATGACGCACATGCTCACCCCACAAACAAAAATGTCACTACCACTATTCCCTGTAGAAAACGGTCTGTCACTGTCTGCGTGAATGAAAGGCAAGTGTCAGCAAAGGTGAGGTGACTTCCCTCTGCTTGAGCAAGTAGGAGTCCTTCTGGTATGGATGCCGTGGATCCGGGTCTTAATGGCCCCAGATGGGCTGGGCTCCAGCAACTGCCTAACACTCTCAAGGCCTCGGAGTCTGTCCCCAGTGCGGGAGGCAAATGTAGAGTAGATGGGAACCTTCTCGATCTGGTTTAGCTCTATGAAGGTGCGCCTGCCTGTTCCCATACAGGGAAAGAGTCTTCTTTCTGCCTCTGGTCCCCCCTCCCCAGAGTGTCTTTGACCCCTTATTTCTACCCTCAGCTCCCCAAGTTTTGCTGGTCTCTGACCTGGCCCCTCAAGTCCTCCCTGGTTGTTGAAACCAGCTGTTTCTCACCCAGGTCCCAGACGTAGGAGTCATGGCTCATGCCCATGGGAGCTCGCTGGAAATTCAAGCAGGAATAAGCCACAGCCAGCTTCCTGTTCCCATCAGGGTGCCAGGAGAGGTGAGTGGCTGTCCGCTTGATCTCTTGAGGGTCCCTGGAGGGAAGAGAAGGGAAAGCAGAGGGCTGGAGGAAAGGGTCCCTTAAGTCTGTGCTTATCAGATTCCTTTTCAAAAAGAGATCTAAGAAAGTGTTCTCAATTAGGAGTTGTTTTTACAGGGTTGAGGCTGGACCACGGGTGGTGGGTGGCTCTTGCCTGTGACTCATCACTCCAGAGTACACAGATCCTGTCTCAAAAAAAAAAAAAAAATTAAACAAAACAAACCCCACAGAAACCCCAGAGTTGACAAGACTCCTTTAAATAAGAAACCAAATCCAATGGCCCCACCTAGAATGTAAGAAGAATTAGCCAGGGAAACAAATGAGTAAAGTCTAGGCTAATCTTTCTCTCTCTCTCTCTCTCTCTCTCTCTCTCTCTCTCTCTCTCGGTAGGACCTCATGTATCCCACCCAGGCTGCCCTTGAACTGAGGACAACCTTTAGTTTCTAATCCTCCTGCTTCCACCTCCCAAGTGCTGAGAATATAGGCATGCATCATTGCACCCAGTTTATAAGGTTCTGGTGCAACCCAGAGCCTCCTACACATACTAGGCCCACATACTACCAACTCAGGCTGTGTCTCCTGAAAGGCAGTGCCTGTGTCTGTGTAGCCCTAACTGACACTTATGTGTGTCACCACAAAGAGCTTTTTTTTTCTTAAGACAGGGTCTCACTGTGTAGCCCTGGCTAGCATGAAACTCACTATGTAGACCAGGCTGAACTTGAACTCTGGAAAAGTGGCTGCCTCTGCTTCTTTAGAGCTGGGATCAAAAGGCATGCACTACCATGCTGCCCTAGTTTAAACACTTTTTTTTGTTTTGTTTTGGGACAGGGTTTCTCTGTGTAACCACGAGTTTAAACACATATACTGATGGAAGTTTTGATCGGGAGCCTGATTCCATGATTATCAGCATAAATGAAGTGAGAATTCAGCTACTTCATTACTTGGTATTTGCCAAAATGAGTTTAAAACTCCTGTTCAGCTAGGTATGGCGTCACACACCTATAACCCTGACCCCAATACTAACAAAAAAGAGGGGATGGGCTGGAGGTGGGGATGGGGATATAGTTTGCCAGCTAGTCTTTGCTTACATGGATGAAACCCTGAGTTTGATCCCTCACATAAAACAAAGCTGTAATCTCAGCACCTAGGAGGCAGAGACACATGGACCAGGAACTCAGGACCGGTGATGGCTACATAGTGAACCCACGCCAGCCTGAACTACAGGAGAGCCTGTCGCAGAAATAAAGACAAGAAAAGGAAGGAAGGAAGGAAGGAAGGAAAAGGGAAGGGGAGGGAAAGCAAAGATTCAGAGAAACAAGCCCATTAGTGAGCAAGAGAAGCCAGACTAAGTGGGCCACAAAGTGTATGGCATTGTGCAAGTGTTGAAGTTGGTGGTGATAAAAAGATCAGTGGGTACCAGGAAGTTGGAGGGCAGGAGAATGAATAGGGAAAACAACAAGGATGTTTTAGAGCAGTAAAAAGCAAATCCACAGACTATGATGGCCAAGAATGCCCCCTGGTGGAAACCAGGGCCTCTGCATAGCAGGGATTTGGTTGATTGGTTAGCTGTTACTTTTTTATTTGTTTGTTTGTTTGGTTGGTGGGTTTTTAGTTTTTCGAGACAGGGTTTCTCTGTGTAGCCCTGGCTGTCCTGGACTCAAATTCACAGAGATCTGCCTCTGCCTTATGAGGGCTGGGGTTACAGGCTTGCACCACCTTGTTTGTTTATTTTAAACAAGGTGTTACGTAGCCCAAACTCACCTCAGACTCCCTATGTATTTGAGTCTAGGGATGATCTTGAATTCCTGACATTCCTGCCTCTGCTTTTCAAATGCTAGAATTACAGGCGTGTGCTGCTACCATGTTTTATTTTTGCTGTTGTTGACAAGGTTTCTCTGTATAGCCTTGGATATCCTGGACTTTATAGACGAGGCTGGTGTCCAACTCACATCAATCTTCCTGCCTCTGCCTCCCTGAGTTCTGGGTTAAAGGTGTATGCCACCACACCTGGCTTTATTTTATTTATTTATTCTTTTTAAGATAACGTTTCACTAAGTAGCCCAGACTGCCTAGAACTTCCAATCCTCCTGACTCAAGTCTATTGGGTGCTAGGACTATAGGTGTGTAAAACATTATTCCGAGGTTCGCTATGTGCTCAGGGTGGGAGGCAGGGAGCTATATATATGAAGGCTCTCTGCACTCTACTCCGTTTTGATGAGAGCCTAAAACTATGTGAAAAACTAAAGTCAGTTCATTTTTGAAAGATTTATTTATTTCATGTGTATGAGTGTTTTGCCTGTGTGTGTGTGTGTGTGTGTGTGTGTGTATGCCCCACATGCATGTCTGGTGCCTGCGTAAGAGGGCATCAGTCTCCCATAGATAGTCTAGTTCCCAACATCCTCACTGGGCAGGGTACCTGTCACTCCAGCTCTAAGGGACCTGGAACCCTACCCTCCCGCTGGGTGCTACCTGAAGACATTGATGGTCTTGGCCGAAGGGGCTTCTTCAGTCACCTCCACGGCCTCCTCGTCATCAAAATACTCCTGGTAGATGTCAATGGCGTTGTTCTGCTTAATGCAGTGCTCCATGATCTGTGGAGACACCGAGGGTTCTTACCAGCCAAGAGAGCTCTGCCCCCGCCCCGCAGGGCTGTCCTGCAGCTGAGAAGGACAAGAAACATGGAGTGGCCCCTGCCCTTGTTCGGTGGGGGTAGGGTTAACTCCAAGGAGTTACAATTGGTTCCTGGGGACACAGGGATACAAGCCTGGCCCAAGAATTTATGTACAGGACAAACCACTCCAAAGCCCCCCACCACCCCCATCATTTCTGATGTTCTACAAGGTCTAGCCTTCTTTGATCCCTTCAGCAGGAAATTCTCTCCTTATGGTGCAAACTGGAAAGTCCCTGTCTCTGATAGGGTCTCTTTGAATGGTGTCAGACAAAGTCTGTGTGTCTGTCTGTCTTGGACTGGTGGAGTGAGTTGCAAACTCTTTTGGGGCAGAAGGCACGTGAAATTCAGTTTGCAGCCTCCGTTCTGTCTGGCAGAGACTTAAAATTCTGCTGAATGAACATTGCTGGCTGATTGACAGGGCTCTTTTCGGATACCCTTTACCCAAGAGGCTTCATCATCATAATCATCATTATCATTTTGTTTGTGAGCCTGTTTTTTTTTGAGGGGAGAGGATGCTTAGCATTGTACATGCAGAAGTCAGAGCACAACTTACAGGAGTGAGTTCTTCCCTACTATCATGAGGGTTCCAGGCACCAACTCAAGTGATCAGCCTTGGGGACAAGGGCCTTTACCAGCTGAGCCATTCTGCCATCCCTCTTCCAGCATTTCAGACCCTTCCTAAAACCTGTTTGGATATAGGTCCTTATGATCATCTGTGAGGTCCCCCTTCTCTGGCTGGGAGCTACAGGAGCCTACCCGGGGCTATCCATGCACAGCCTGAAGGGCACAGTCCAAGCTGGGGGGAGTGGTGTGGGACAGCTGAAGCTGGAGGAAGCCTAACCGAGCCCAGCTGCATGACAGTATTGATGTAGTTCTCGTCTTTCTCCACTTTTTTCCGGAAGCGGATGGTCTGCTCCAGCTCCTGGGGGTTCACATCCTTGGGCCAGCCCCCCTCGACATGGTTGACCCCGCAGCTCTCCATCTCAAACCGCTCCGTGTTGGCCTAAACAGAGAACCACAGGAGAGAAGCCGTCTGTCTTGGGTCTAACCATTCAGCCATTTCTGCAAACTTAGATGCTGGGACACTAAGCTCTTAAATGGGTACTGAAGAAGGGGTACCCTGACCAAAGCCACAAAGTGAAGGTCCCCTCAGGTGGCTTCAACAGTACTACTGCTTTGCAGGGTAGGAACAATGGTGGGCATGGAAAACCCAGTTCCATCTTTACCTTAAATAGGCCCAAGAGCCCACCCCTTCATCCTGGGAGACATCATATTAACAGTTATTAATCCTCCATCCTTTAGCATCACAGAGACTGGCAATCAACAGCAACTCCCAGGGTGGGTTTGCCTTATGCATTCTTGGGAGCTGGCAGGACAGGTCTCCCAGCTAAAGATGACTTCTTGACTCCTTCCCACTCTTCCCATCCCTCCCCCATACTTATTTATTTATCCAATCAACCATTCATTCATCTTACATTTGAGGCAGGGTCTCATGTAGCCCAGGCCTCAAACTTACTATGTAGCTTGAGATAACTTTGAACTTCTGGTCTTCCTGCTGGGAAGTATAAGCCTATACTACCACACTTGGTTTTATCTATCATCTATCTATCTATCTATCTATCTATCTATCTATCTATCTATCTATCTATTTGAGACAGGATCTCACTATGTAGCCCTAGCTGGCCTGGAACTTGCTATGTATAGATCAAGTTGGCCTCAAACTCAGAGAATCACCTGCCTCTGCCTTTTGAGTGCTGAGATCAAAGACGTGCACCACTAAACCTGGATCACACGGTTTTTTGCAACATTTGGGATGGAACCCAGGGCCTTAATGAGCTACAGCTCTGCAAACACCTGTCTGGAGGTCCAAAGCTCGTTATTGTCTTGTGGGGAAAGAATCCCCATCCCCACTAACTGGCTGCTCCATTGCTTTTCAAGCTCTCCTAAAATGAGATGTTTCCCCAGGTCTGGGTTACAGCCCCAAAGCTCGGGGGGTGTGCTGTGCTGTGAGTTGGAAACAGCAATCAGGCTGGGAGAGCAAAAAGCTCATTCATCAGGATCATCATCAGGATCACTCACCCCCGAGAGACTGCAAAAGTGTTTTGGCCAAACCAAGTGATACTGGTAGATCCTGGGCACGCTCAGATGCGTTAGCCCATTCCACACGATTTTCAGTGTGGCTGGCAGAATCGGGGGTTGGTCCCTTACTTCATGAGGACGCAGCATTCCTGGGGCCATTCTGGTGAGAACTTCCTATGCAACACTTGCTTTTTCTTAAGCCCCTCTGGATAGTTCTCTCAGAAGGGCCAAACACCAAGAATGACTCCAGTAACATCTTAAAGGTCCCAGAAGCCCTAGGAGGAACATTTTGGTTCTAGGTATGTCCAACTTTTTTTTTTTTTTATATTGCAGTATCAATATCAATCACTATCATCTACAAAGTTTATATTCAGTAACCACTTAGTCAACGCCACACACACACCCTCACACACTGCTACACAGAGGAGATAGACGTAATCTTTAAAAATCAGACTTGGGAGATGGAGGCAGGAGGATCAGAAACTCAAGGTCATTCTTGTCTTGGCAAGGTCAAGACCAAGCTGGGATACATGACCACTCTGCCACATACTTCAAAAGCACACACACACACACACACACACACACACACACACACACACACACACGTAAATAAATCCTTATAATGCCCTAAGTAGGTTTACCAGTTTGTACTAGGCCACGTTCACAGCTGTCCTCAGCCATATCTGGAGCGAAATAGGCCCAGGAATCCTCCCACCCATCCCGAGAGGTATCATATTAGCAGTGATTAATCCTCCAAACCTTCTATATAGACTGCACATCAACAGCGATCCAGAGTGTGGACTTGCCTTGTGTATTCTGTGGACACACCTAGGTTGGACACACCAGCTCTGGCCCAAGAAGAGTCGGTGTTGTCCATTCCTGATCCTGGAGTGAGTCTTGGGGTGACTCTGCCCATGTACCTGCAGCACCTGTTCTCGTCCACTCTACCTAGCTCCCAGGCAGGGCCAGTTTCCCCACCGACCACCGTGGGTCTTCAGGGCGGGGACCCACCTCATGCTCCGACATGCTAGCCGAGCACTGGACGCCCGTGTCCACTGGGTTCCGCTCCACATACAGTGCGGACAGCTCCGGGTTGGGGGCGATGTCGATGTTCAGCTCCGCCTGGCGGTCGGAGAAGTTGCATTGCTTCCCGAACTCGCTGCGCTTCTTGAGGTATACGTAGACGATCTCCATGGTGATGGCTCTGACGGCTGCGGCGGGATGGAGGAAGAGTGTGAGACGTGGCGCGCGGGGTTGGGGGGGGGGGAGGTCCCACCAGATCCTTCTCATCTCCCCTGGTCCCACCGGAGGTAGGGCCGGGCTTTCCTTCTGTTTTGCAGGGAGGCGGGGTAGGGACTCTTAGAGGATCTCTCTAGAAGCTATGCTGGAGAGATGGCTCTGCAGTTAGGAGCACTGCAGAGGACCAGGAGGCTGCTTCCCACCCCTCACAGGGCAGCTCACAAGCATCTGTGACTGCAGTGCTGGGGGCGTCTGACTTCACCCTCTTCTGGCCTCTGTAGGCCCTGCACACACATGGTGCATAGCCGTCCATGCAGGATGCAGGCAAAACACCCCAAAACCCTCTCCCTCACAGCGCGCACACACACACACACACACACACACACACACACACACAAATAAAATCTTTCAAAGACACTCTCATTCAGCTGGGCACATGTCCGTGATCCCAGCACTTTGAAGGGGTGGAGGTAGGATGATCTGGAACGTAAAATCGTCCTAGGCTACACAGCAAGTTCAAAGCCATCCTGGGCTGCGTGAGACCCTGTCTCAAAACACGAAACGTGAAAACAAAAAAGACAAACGAAATACACACACTCTTGCACACACAGAGAGAGCCAACCCGCACCCCCATCTGATGCCACCCACGTATGATGGCTCACACACTCCCAGCACTTGGAAGACTAAAGCAGGAGGATTGCCACGAGTTCAAGGCCAGCCTGTGCTTTGAAAGAAGCTTATGATATATAGTAAGACCTTGCCTAAAATGGGCCTGGAGAGGTGACTCTGTGACCTAAAGTACTTGCTGCTCTTATCAAGGATTAGTTTGGTTCTCTGGCTGCCTGGAACTCTAGCTCCAGAGGATCTGGTGCCACCTTCTGGCCTCTGAGAGAGCATGTATGTATGTGCCCCCTCCCCCTCCCCTCTACCGCCCTCCCTCTCATGCACACACACAGAGCTAAATAAATCTGATATCCGATTTTGAGACCGGGTCTCACTCTCTGGAACTAACCATGTAGACCAAGCTGCCTTCAAACTTGTAGGTCCACCTGCCACTACATCCTGAGTACTGAGATTAAAGGCATGAGCCACCACAGTCAGAAAAGTAAATCTTTAAAAAAACAAACCCCAAATAACAAGATCTCTTAACTCACCTGAGTGCCAACTGTATCCTAAGGATAAATTGTACTGTGCGGGTCTCGTTCTTGCCCTCTGAGGTGGGCAGTAGAAATCACCATTTTTCTTGAACAACATTCATACCTTTAGGTGACCTACCCAGCGTCACAGAACTGACAAACACACCGGCTGGTCTGCCTGGCTTTGAAGCTCTTACCCACAAAATTACACACTTTCTACCGAATCAATACACTTACTGGGAGGAGAAAGCAATCCTGATGACTATGACGCTGAGCTAAATCCACCACCTCACTCAAGATTGAAACCACCAGGCACACAGATGAGAAAGACCGCAATCTCTTAAGAGCCCCCAGCTGCTCACTGTGCCAAAGCCTCATCCATGCCAGAGCGCCAGAGTACCCGGCTCTGACTCACCTCTGGTTGCCACACTGGGCATCTCCGCCTCGTGCATTGTTCTACCTACGTAGAGCTGTGAACCACTTTCAGAAGGGACAAAGCCAAGTGGCTTCTTCAACAAGTGGAACTGGGAACTCCCGGGTTGGGGCTACTTGGTCATGAGAATAAAGAATGAGGGCCAGCGAGATGGCTCAGAGGTAAAGGTGCTTTTGGCACAATCCTCATGACCAGAGTTCAATCGCCTGGAACCTACTGATGGAAAGGAGTGGACTGTCTCCAATGTGTCGTCGCCTAGCCTCCACGTGTGCCCAGTGGCTTGCACGTCCGTGCTCTCTCTCAATTAAAAAAAATTACTGTAAAGAAGGTTGGCCAGACCCTGGAGTTCTGCCCCTGCCTTCACCAGCAGTGTGCCCTTAGTCACTTAGTCTTTCCAGGGCTGACTGCAAAGTTTCAATAACGGGACTGTCGTGCAGACACAGTGAGAGAAGGAGTCTCCTTACCAAAGTCCTGTGATTACAGAATGTCAACCCTGCCAACTTCCCTCCACCCAACAAAGGAACCTTGATCCTTCCAACCCCGTGCATCAGGAGCTGAGCACAGGAGGCTGGCCATCTGGGCCATTATATGTCGACCGTGTGGACTTAGCCTTTCAGCTGGAGTTACGCCAGACCCTACCTGGTGCTGGAGAGATAGCTGGGAGGTTAGAGCACACACCGACCTGCTCTTGCAGAGGAGTCTGGTTCCTAGCACTACATGGCACACATGCTGATAAGCAGGCCAACACTCACGCACATACATAAAAATAAAACTTTCCCAAGAAGCTGGAGGGATGGCTCAGCAGTAAAGAGAACTTGCTGTTCTTTCAAAGGACCAGGGTCTGACTTCCAGCACCCACATGACAGCTCCCAACCACCTGTAACACCAGTTCCAGGGGGTCTGATGTTATCTTCTGAGGGTATCAAGTATATATGCAGCAAAACATTCATACACATAAGATAAACATTTTTAAAAAAAATCTTAAAAACATTTGTCTTAAAAATTAAATTATCCCATTTCAAAGACAAATGCACACATACAGAGAAGGAAGAGAGAGGATATGGGGTAGAGGAAAGGGGAAAGTGGGAAGAGAAAGGAAAGAGGAGAGAGGGGGGGAGACAGACAATAAAACCCAAGTATGTCTTAGCTATGGTGGTATGTCTGTAATCTCAACATTGAAGAAGCAGAGGCAGGAGGATCCGTGCAAATTCTAGGCCAGCCTAATCTATAGAATGAGTGTCAGGCCAGTCAGGGTTACACAGTGAGACCTATACTCAAAAAAATTTAAAAAAAAATCAATCAATGACTCAGGGGTTAAGAACACTGTCTATTCCTCCAAAGGTCCTGAGTTCAATTCCCAGCAACCATATGGTGGCTCATAACCATCTACAGTGGGATCTGGTGCCCTATTCTGGTGTGCAGGTGTACATGCAGGCAGAATGCTATATAGATAGATAGATAGATCTTTAAAGAGTTAAAAAGTCAATTGAGTGATCAATTGATCTGATCAGTCAATAAAACCAACCATGAGTAGTGAAAGCAGTTATGTCCTGATGCAAAGAGACACATGATCAACGGACAGAACTGAAAGCTCAGAAATAAACCTTCATGTTTATGGTCAGCTGATCTCTGACAAACCACCAAGGGTTGTAACACAGAGAGAATGGGCTCTTTGACTGGCAGCGCTGGGATGACTGGGTATTCCCAAGCAAAAAGGCATTAAGAGCCCTGTCCCATACCATGTGCAAAAATGAACCCAAAATGGGCTGCGGCTCTAAATATACAAGCAGAAACTGTAAGCCTCCATGGTTATAAGGAGTCAGACCCATGGCTCTAGCTACTGAGTTCTGAAAGCCTCGGGGCTGAGCTGTCCATCTAGAAGCAGGTGCCAGGGTAGAAGGGAACTTCTGGAACAGGGGGTGAGTGAGAAGAAAGGGAAGTGAGAATAACTCCTCAGTCTCTTGGCATCCATATATCGCTCCCTGAAGGCAGCGTGACCTGCTAGGCATGGTGGCACATGCCTGTAAGCCCAGTCCTTAGGAGGCAGAAGTGGCAGAATCAGGAGTGCAAGGCCAGATTGAGCTACATGAGACTCTGTCTCCAAAACAAGCCACAGATGCAATAAAAGTGTGTTTCCAGACACCCCCAAAGCCAACCCAAACCATACTCCTGGAGACAGTGGTTTGGTGGGAGCGGTGGCTCAGAGGGCAGAGGGGTGGGCGAAGCAGCAGTCTGCATAAGGGTGCCCTGATGTCTTCACTCTGTCTGGACAGAATTGAGGCCTTGGGGAAAAGAATGCAAAGTCAATTAAACTCTCTCTGTCTTCCACCAGGGTGAAAAGCACCTGTGTCTCCCAGCCCCGGCAGCTGGATCCAGGCAATTAGGGGCTGTCTCTCTCCATCTCCAATTGCCGTGACACAGCTGGCTCCTAGGGCGACACAAGGATGCTTAAGAGAATGAGAAAATCTTGGGAAGAAAACACCAGCCTCTTCAGCCCCCGTCAGATTCTAACAGCTTTGCTTCCTTACTTGGTGTTTCCCAAGGCCAAGCCCTCATGGAGAACAGAGGCATTGTCTTGTGTCTGGCAGCAGACAGAGGGGACATTTAAAGGGGGACGTTCAAAGACCCAGTACAGGCTCTTTTCTCACAAGCTAACAGGGTGCAAAGATAAACGGGCAAGGTCAGCCAAGGGCGTCACAGCCGATCTTTCCCCTCTTTTGGGAGACAAGTGCTGCAGGGTGGAGCTTCCCCAAGCAGGGTCTGAGCAGGGTGTCTACAAAGGGGGTGGGGTAGCAGAGGGGATGAGGAGTATTGTTGCCTAGGAGTTTCAGGGGGAGAGTGTCCCTATGGGAACCTACAGACCCAGAAGCATGCAGAATCAGTCTTCTCTCTCTCTCTGTCTGTCACTTTCTTTCCCTCCCTACCTCTTTCACACACACACACACACACACACACACACTCTCTCTCTCTCTCTCTCTCTCTCTCTCTCTCATGCACACACACAACGATAAATATGGACTCTAGAACCTCACATATACTAGCGCTACACTGAGCTACACCCACAAGTCTCAGACCCAGGACCACAAAGATCTGCCCACCATACCCTGGTCCAAACACGCAATCATTTCCCGCATTGTGGCCCAACATAAAAAAATCTTGCCTCCTGCAAGGATAACGAGCAAAGTCATTCCTAGAGAGAACCCCTTGTGGCTTAACAGAAAGCATGGTACCGCAGCTGGGAGGGAAACCCAGGGAATGGCAAGAAGCAGGGATGTCAGTGTGAGGAGGAGGCCAGAAGGAGGTGCAGCCTTTGTCCCTTGGGGCAGCCGGCCAGTGTGCCTGGAACTGAGCAGCCTTGCTTAAGGGAGGAATAGAGAGGGAGGAATCTTTGTGTCTTTCCCATATCTTTGAGAACCTTCTGGACAAGGCTAGGAAAATGTTTCCATGACCCTAATGTGCCTGATAGGGCCAGCCCCCCAGACCGAGGGGCAAACGAAAGGGTGCATTTATACATAGTGCCTGTACCCAGCCTACAACACTTGTGATCTCCCACAGTTACCCCTTCTACCTCGTTCTTCTTGTTTCTTTTTAATCATGTGCGTGTGTCTCTGTGTGTGGGTATACACGCATGCAAGTGCAGGTGGGGTGGAGGCCAAGTGTCAGATGCCCTGGAGCTGGAGTTACAGGGGTTGTCAGTCACCTGATGTGGGTGCTGGGAATCGAACTCCAGGTCCTCTGCAAGAGCACTGCTGACTCTTTACTGCTGAGGCATCCTCCAGCCCCATCTCTTAGTCTTTTGAGGCAGGGTCTTACTCTTAGTCCAGCTGGCCTGGAGTGCACTGAGTCGTCTGGGCTGGCCTCAGACTCTCGGCAATCCTCCTGCATCAGCAGGCGTGTGCCTCTCCCTCCCCTTAACTGAAAGCTCTTCTGCTTAACAGCCCCATCCTCCCCGGACTGAACTTTTGCTCCATTCACCTGAAAGCCCGAAAAAGTCCCGTCCAATCCGGGACAGCCCAGGTCAGGGCCTGGTGGGATAGTGGTGCCGGAGTCAAAGTCCTGGAGCTTGGAGAATATTCCGGGCAGCAAGGAGAACGCTAGGAGCGCTGGTCCTGATTCCAGCACCCGACAGATCTCCTAGAAGTTATCTCCTAGGTATCTTGCACTGTCCGTGATTATTTCCCTAGGGGCTTTTCCCTCCTTTCGCCAGGTTTTCTTTCGGGCTTGGACTCCTTCCGGACGCCTGGCTCTTTTCCCGGCTGAGCTTCTCCAGACACACAGACCCCGGGAAGCGCCCAAGACACGTCCAGCTCCAGAGCCGCTCAAAACGGCTGGGAACTGCGGGGTTTACCCGTTGCCTAGTAACCCTGGCCGGCCGGGACGCTGTTCGTTCGGAAGGCACGTGATATTGGTCCCTCTAGTCGGAAGCAAAGCCTTTCTCCCCTCCCTTCCCCGGAGGAGGTCTGCGGAAGGAGTGTAGGAAAATTAACTAACTTGTAAAAGCCCACTAGCGGTCATGAAAGGCTTTGCCAAAACGCTTATCCAAGCCTACAGTTATGCATCCGGCAAAGTGACCAGTGCGTGGGGAAGCCCTGCGCCTGGGTTAGTGAAAGCCGGCTCTGTTTAGTTCTGATCTTGTCTGGGTTGTCACTCTTTGCTGCAACGTCCGGGCCTCTTCTGTTGCCGTCTGCCCTGCAAGACCACCCTTCTGAAGTCATCTCCGGAATGGAAATTCCTTGAGGGGTCAGGCTGAATGCATGCTCGGCTTAGCACATAAACACGGTTTCGCTGCATGAATGGATGAGCTGATGGGTGCATGAATTTCACAATGAGAGATGTGTTTCTCATGAGCTTGGGGCAACCGCCCTTGCTGCACAAGCCTGACAAACTGAGTTCAAAGCCCAGAACCTATGTAAATGTGGCAAAAGAAAATGCATTCCACAGTGTTGTCCTCTGACGACCTGCGTGTGCAATGGAGCACGCCCACAATAATAGTAATAAATTTTAAAAAGTAAAGAAGGGAGATATAGTCCTATCTCTGGGGCTGGTGGGATGGCTCAGTGGCGCTAGGGGCTTGCCATCACTTCTGACGACGTGGCATTCAGCCCTGGGCACTCATGGTGAAGGAAGGAAAGAACTGATGTCCCCAAGTTGCCGTCTGACCTCCATACTGTGCTATGCATGACACATGAGTTTACACACACACACACACACACACACACACACACACACACACACACTGTGATTTTTAAAGAAAAAGAAAATTACAGAATCTCATCTACCTTCCCAGAGTGGACGCTAGATTCATTACTTATTTATCATGTGATTTTAGTAAGTCCCTCCCCCCTTCCCCGTCATGGTTTGTTTGAATAAGATTGGCCCCCTTAGGCTCATGTGTTTGCATGCTTAGTCCGAGGCTGGGCAAGCTGTCTAGGAAAGATTAGAAGGCATGTCCTTGTTGGAGGAAGTTTGTGAGTGGGGACTGGACTGGGAGGTTTGAAAAGCCCCACACCAGGTCCAGTGTCTCTCTTGCTGCTGTGGGTCAGGATGTAGCTCTCAGCTCCTTCTCCAGCACCGTGCCCGCCTATGTGACACCATGATGATAATGGACTAACCCTCCGAAATGGTAAGCAAACGCTCAGTGAAAAGCTTTCATCTGTAAGAGTTGTTTTGGTCATGGTGTCTCTTCACAGCTATTGAACAGTGACTCCAGGCAGCCCTTTGGTACTGGGATTGAACAGGGCCTTTGTGTCTGATAGGTCAGAGCTCCACCACTGATCTACAGCCCAGCCCTACTTTCCATCTCCGAGGCTTGACTTTCTACATCCTCACAATAGTACAGTGACAACAGTACCACAGTTCTTCAGGGTATGTGGTCAGACACAGAGGAGAATCCAGCCCTTTCTGAGGCCCTGCCAGCACTGCGCTTGCTGCTACAGGCTCCAGAGAATGAGGTGAACCTGAGGCCAGGCGTGGGCACTGGAGATTTGGATAGAGCCAGGCAAAGAAAAATGAGTCACCGAGATGTGGGATTTGGGGCTGGAACTGGGCCCTAGAAAAAATGGTTTTGAGTTGCAGGGGAACTAGTGGAGAGTGACTCCCAGAGTGGGGGTGGGGCATGGTATGAATCAGAGTTGCAAGCTGATCAGTTCCAGGATGGAGAATGTGGCTGGCTGGCGTTGCAAGCTGGGGGACATTCTGATGACACATGGGTAGAGAAGGGAGGTGCCTGTGTGTGTGTGAATCCAATAAGAAGGAGGGAGGTTGGAAAGGAAACCACAATCACTTTTATTAGGACAATTATTTTATCTCTGGCTTCCCACCTCCTCCACCCTACTTTCACTCAGACCTTCAGACTGCCCACCACCACTGGAAACAGTTAGCTCACTCGCTCGCTCACTCACAGGCTCTTAGATCTTAAACTCTTGGCAGGTTCAGCTCAGCCGCCCTGGGAGGCCAGCATGAGGTCATATAATTAGGAATCCTATTTTGTCCATCCTGGGCCCCCCCCTAACCCCGCCACACACACTCCAGGCTCTCAGATTTCCATCCAATCACAGCGTAACTGGCAAACTCCTGCCCTAGACAAACTCCAGGCAGATTCCTAGTCTATTATACCACTTTCTTCTCCCCCCCCCTCCTTTTTCCTCTTCAAGACAGGCTAGCTTTGAACTTCTGATCCTCCTGCCTCCACCTTCCAAATGCTGTAAGTACAAGCACACTCCAACACACCAGGCCTTAAAACTCTTCTATGAAAAGATTAGTTAGTAATTTTTTATTAGTGTATATGAATAGTACAGGGTAAAGGCTTTCATTATTGTGTTTGCATGCATCCACAAGATATACTTTGATCATATCTACTCCCCATTGCTTTCTGATTTTGTGTTTTGTTTTTTTCTAATTTTGAAATTGAGTGAAAATATGGTATCTCTCTTTCTGAGATGGAGGCAAGAGAATAAGAAATTCAAGGTCAACCTTGGTTTACATACTAAGTTTAAGGCCAGTGTGGGCTATATAAGACTGTCTCTAAACAAACAACAAACAAAACTAGACCAAGCTGGGCACCTTTTGATCCCAGCGCACTCCTGAGGTTGAGGCAGACTTCAGATTTCCATGCTAGCCTGGTCTATATAGTGAGTTCCAGGGTAGCCAGGGCTGCAGAGCGAAACCAAACCCACCAAACAACACACACACATACACACAGTCACACAAATCAGACTAAAGAGGAAACTCAAGTGTAACCTGCATTTTGGCCACTTTGAGGAATCCTTTCTCTCTAAAGGACAGAGGGGAAAGGGACATCATTATCATTAGACTACTTCCTGCTGAGTAGGGGTATCAAGATCCTTGGGGCAAGTTTGATCTTCGATGTCAGGATATCTAATTTCTTCTCTTTTCTTTGCACATGACTACTTGACAAAGCGAAACCGACAGCAACCAACCACCAACCCGCCACACCTATGGGGCTCTAGCATTTATATATCCTCTGAAAAGTCCCCAGAATTCCAAATGCCAGCTTGCAGAAACTCTCTGCAGCTGGCAAAACTCTGCCAGAGCATGAGGCAAATCATAGTCAACTGCTGCAAATTTCTGGGATTAAAATGAAAACATATTCCTGTAACATGTATCTGTTTGTTTAAAGAAAGCAAAATTACACATGATAATTTTGTAAACTCCTTCCCAGGACCATGACCACAATTGCCTACACAACTCAGCTACCTTAGAACTCAGAGAAAGTAAGAAGCCATCAAATATTTAGGCTTTGTGGATTTAGGAGGCACAAACCAAAGCTCTTACGGGGGCTGGTAAGGACAGCTCTTACCTGAGCGTATTGGTCAATGAACATGGCAGGCTTCTTGAGTCGCTGTATGGAGCTAAGAGGAAGTGCCGAGCTGGGTTCAGTACGAATCATTGGGGGCTGTAGGAGTGGCACAAGGGGAGCAAGTCAAAGGGACCCGGCTCTGTGGTATGTCCACTGACAGCATAGTTCATTACATCTGTTCCCAGGCTGTGCTCCCTGAAGGCCTCTATGGAGTCCTGCTTTTTCCCAGAGAGCAGGCTAGACAGCTGTCCTCTTCTTAGAGTTGGCTCTTTCTAGGTGTGCAGTTGCGTCCCTGCCAGATGACCCCAGTGGGGGACAGTGACGCCGTGACCTCTCAACACTACAGCACTTTCCCTTAGCTAGTGTATGGTTCTTCCCTGAGGAAAAGGGGTGACAGAGATACAGAAGTCATGAAGACAATGCTGACCTGCCACCTTCCTTTTTTTTTTTTTTTTTAATAAGAAAACTAGAGTTTTGAGTTTAATTTTATTTAATGTGTATGGGTGTACTGATTGCATTGTCTGTGCACCCTGGGCACGCAGTGTCCAGAGCCACCGGGAGAGAGCATCGGACCGACCTCTTGGAACTAGAGTTACAGAGCTTTGTGATCTACCGTGTGGAATCAAGCCTTGGGTCGTCTGGAGAGCAGCCTGTGCTCTTAACCACAGAGCTATACCTCCAGTCCTGACCTTCCTACATCTTGTAGACCTTTTGCAACTCAGGTTTTCATTTAGTTTGCAAAGCCTGTAAAAGCTCCCCCGCCCCCCCCCCCACCATACTGTCACCTAGGTGCTGAGTTGCAGTATTCTCCAAAAATCAAACTAATTATGGGAGTTCCCACACTGTTCTTACTCATCTCCCTGTGGCTGTGGGTTCCCTCAGGGCAGGCAGAGTCCAGGAAAAGCCACAAGAGCACGTGTCTTTCTGAGCCGGTGAGGTCATCTGCTGTGGGGCTCTCAGCTGCTCCCCTCAAACACTCCCAAAATGTACAGCAGCTAGCTGCATTTGGCACTGGTGCCGCTGAGCCAGCAGGGACTTGGGGTGGGGGTGGGGGTTGAGGGGCTGTGTTCAGGAAGCCCTGCCCCAAGCAGCAACCCGTGCGTCAGGTGTGGAGGAAGACAGCAGGAACCCATGAATTGCCAGTGTAGGGGTGTAGCCTGGGCAACTCCTGGCTGGCCACCTCCCCATCCCATGTCCACCCAGAGACACCCAGCACAGAGCCTGGGGCTCTGTGTGTGAAACGTCCTGGTTCTGTCCTCACACCAACCAGGCCCTGACCCTTGCTGCACCTGCTAATCTACAAAACAAATCGCATTACAGATTTATTCTGAGAGTTAATGAAAAATTAATATCAATAACCAGGGAGGATTGCTGGCTCCTGGTGAACACACTTAATAAAGGCCACTTATTATCAGCAGCCCAATGAGCAATGATGAGCAATGAATGACCTTCAGGGAGAACGCTGGGGAAGCCCAGAGTAGAAATGGAAACTAGCCCTGGCTCTGTAAGAGGAGCTACAGGTAGAGGTTAGGAAGATGGCTCCATGGATAGGAGCATTCGCTGTGCAAGCATGAGAACCTGAGTTCAACTCCTCAGCACTCATCTAAAAAGCTGTTTGTTGTGGGTACATGCCCTTAAATTCAGTTGATGGGGAGAACAGGAGTGGGGATGAGAGGGTTTCTGGGGCTTGCTAACCATCAGCCTAGCGAGACCCCATCTCAAGGGAATAGGGTAGAGGGTTGGCAGAGCAGAAGAGCCAAAGCCCTTTGTTTTCTGGCCTATGTGCATAACACACACAGACACAGACACACACACACACCATCACCACCGAAACAAACAAAAACAAAACAACAAAATAGGTAAAGGCCACAGTCACCTGTGACCTGAGACACTCACTCATAGCCCCTTTTAAAAAAGATGTTATAGCCAGGTTTGGTGATGATACACACCTTTAGTCCTAGCGTTAAGGAGGCAGAGGTCACTGAGGCTAGCCGGGTCTAGAGAGAGTTCTAATACAGCCAGAGCTGTCTGTCTCAAACCAACAAAAACAAACAAATAAATGCTAGGCATAATGGCTTTTAGTCCCAGCACTTGGAATGTAGAGGCAGGCAGATCTCAATGAGCCCTAGGTCAGCCTGGTCTACACACTCAGTTCCAGGTCAACCAAGGCTACATATGAGACCTGTGTGCGTGAGTGTTTTCCTTTGTGTATGTGTGTTGTATGTGGAGACATCAGATTCTGTGGAACTGGAGTGTCATATTACTGTGAGCCATCATGTGGGTGCTGGGAACTGAACCCAGGTTCTCAGCAAGAGCAGTAAGTACTCTTAATTACTGAGCCATCTCTACAGCCCCGACTTGCCTTCTAGTTTCTACATATGTCTCTCTGCGTACTTTTACATGAGTGCTCTATCTGCATGTACACAGATCCCCATATAGATGGTCGGAAGCCGCGTGGTTGTTGGGAATCGAACTCAGGACCTCTGGAAAAGCACAGTGCTCTCAACCACTGAGCCATCTCGCCAGCCAGAGGAGTCTCCTGTAGTCCCTCCCGCCAAGACCTCTGTGGAGGTGACATGCACCCTTGAGAGTCCCGAGAGCTTATCCAGTAAGTGACACTCAGTCAGTGAACTGCACATCTTGAGAAATGGTTTATTTCTTGGCTCAGGTGAGGGCGAGCGTGTGTCAAGCAGAAGCCCACTTGGCTCCTGCAGAACCTGGGGGGGGGGGTTTAGTTTAATGTACATGCATTAAAAAGTCCTTCGGTTGCTGCAGAGGAAACATTAGAAGCGATGTCTGAGGCCAAGGCCGCAGCTCCAAGTCTGCACAGGACACAGACATGTAAAGGTGGCTCACAGGATACACAGGTTAACATGAGACACAGTGACACCGCCACCCCGTGGCTCGGCTGGGAGCTGCCGGTGTGATGGCAGTGTGGCTCTTCTGAAATGGAAACAGCCCTGTCCCACACCATCACCCAGGCCCTGCTTAGCCGTACAAGGCCATGGGGCTTCAGGGTGTAGTGTACACAGGGTTGGCAGGAGGCTGGAAGCACCAAAGATCCTAAGCACCTGGTCCCTCAGCAGGCAGGACAGGGGTCGTTATTTTCTCCTGGCTACAAAATGGCTGCTCCTCAGAATCGAGAAAGGCCCTCAGAACTTCTTAGTTTTCATGTCTCTCCCTTTACAAGGCCCCAGATATCCTTCTCCAGCCATCTGGGACAGAATGTCTCACCAATCTTTTATTTTATATATATAAAAAAAATGGACAGGGTATCATGGTGTACGCCTTTGATCCAAAGCATTCTCAAGGTGGAGGCAGATGGATGTCTGAATTCAAGGTCAGTCTGATCTACAGAATGAATTCCAGGACAGCCAGGGCTACACAGAGAAACCCTGTCCCCAAGACTCTAAAAACAAAAACCAAAACAAATCCACTCCTGGCCTGGTGTGGCAGCACATGCCTTTAGACTCCGTACTCTGTGAGTTCTAGGTCAGTCATGGCTATATAATGAGACTGCAACAAAACCCCCAAACCCCACAACCTCTTCTCAGCCTCTCCTCCAGACTGCAGGATGGCTTGTGTGAGAGCCACAGTAGGATCAGGAGGAAGACCTGAGCCTGAATTTACCACAAAACCTGATGTGTCCTTGAGGGAGGTGTGAGTCTTTGGATCATCAGAATGTTTTCAGCCACTGGGGATGAGAGTTCAGTTGCTTTTGAAGTGTCTTTTCATACCTGAGACGGTCCCCACCAGCAGCTGAGACCTGGCTCCAGAATGTGGCAGGCTTTACCCTCATGCTTCTGCCCAAGGCTGCCAGGCTGAGTGCCCAGGCTGAAGCCACCAATCTCCTCTTGGGAGTTCTCTTGATGCTACCCTTCTGAGGTCTAGGCAGAGTCTGTGTGGTCCCAGAATGCGAATCCTGGACCAAGTGTTCTCCTAATATACCTCCAACTGTCACCTGCCTAGGAACCAAAGACAGAGTAACTGGAAGGTGTGGCCTGGGCATAGGGCCACTCCTCACAAGAGGCAGGGGTCCAGTGGCAAGACCTAGAGAGAACAGGGCTCTTAGGGTGTGGTCCCTTTCTCACCGCCACTTCTCATCTGCCCAGGGTGGGTGGGCTGAACCAGGCAGCCGGGTCGAGAAAAGCAGCTGAGTCCTAGGGAGTTAAGGCAGGAGAGGCTGGTCTAGTCACGGGCCTGGTATCCACCTGAGGACTTTGGTCAGGAGTCCCAGCTGTGTCTCTGCAGCCACGGGAGCCTGCTCGGGTCCAGGAACTTTCGGCTTCTATTGCAGAAACTCAGCTGGGTTCTGCATCTGCTGAAAACCAAGCTGGAAGGAGGAGGCAGGTACCTAGGATGGGAACTCGTAGTGTCTCAGGTGCTCATCTGCCACGGACATGTAGGTGGCCCTCATGCTGGGAGAATACTGTGGAGGAGAGAAGGGACAGTCAGAACAGGGCACAGTTGCTACTGGGTCAACGGACATTATACAGTCCGCCTTCCCTGCTGTTTATGCTGCTTCCACACCCATGGATTCAACTAAATTTGGATCAAAGCAAAAACAAAAAAAAACAAAAAAAACAAAACAAAACAAAAAAAAAGCCTGTATTGAGCATATCTGTACTTTTGAGCATGTATGTAAGTTTTGTTTCCTTCTTTTATTCCTGCTATTTATTTAGACTTTGTAGTTCAGGCTAGCCCAGGACTCCCTTTGTACCCAGACTGGACTCCAAGTCAAAAGAATCTTTTGGTCCCAGCCTCCAAAGGAGGGATTGTATGAGTGCGTCACCACACCCAGAAGCAATGAAGCAACTACCTGCACAAGCAACCCAACTGGGATCCTGCACCTACAGGAGGATGCGCGCAGGTTGCAGGAAAACCAGCACAAATCGTGTTACAAAACGGGCTGGAACTGCCCCAGAAGTTGGGCGGGTATTCTTGGAATTCCTGGGGCCAGGCCTCTGGGGACAAAGGTGCTGGGAACTTCTCAGATGACAACCTGAGGCAGGCACAGCAGCCAGACACAGTGTCTTTATCACAGGGTATCCTGTAGCTTGGATCCTCCCGGCAAGACCACTGATGCCTCCTGTCTCACGCCTGCTGGGACACCAGGCTTTAGCCTCTAGCATAACACGCACACACAGAGCAGGGACCCTCCTCCCCCCACACCTAGCAGCACCCATGCCGTGTTCTCATGAGGCACGGCACTGGGCTGTACCAGGCATGCCAGGGAATTTCAGTTACCTAGCGGCCAGCAGACTGAGGGGCACGGTCCACAGATCCTAGGAGCTGGGTTCGAATCCCACATGTGCAGCTGCCATCTACATTGGTTTTCTGAGACAAGGTCTTTTACTGACTGGTAGGTGAAATCTTGCCCAGTAGGTGAGCCTGGTTGGCCAGTGAGCCCCAGGGAGTCACCTGTCTCTACTCCTCCAGTGCTGAGATTACAGCATAGACCACCATACCTAGCTTTTTATGATGTAGGTTCTGGAGGCTCCAATTCAGGCTCTCACAAGGCACACACTTTACCGAGTGCACTTTCACCCAGTCCCTATACATTTTCCTTGCCTGTGACTTTGGCTGAGGTCTTTCTAACCTCTCCTGGCCTGTTTCCCCACTTGAAAAACGGACCTAAAAGAATTCAGCAAGACCCTTTCTATAAGGGTCTTTAAATATCCAGGGAGTTTAAAAATCCCATCAATCAAGTTTTTTGTTTTTTTTTTTTTTAGATAGGATATACAAAATAGGAAACAAAGCTTTTAAAAGTGTCACCAACAGTTTTAAAGCGCTGCTCTGGAAATCCCGGAACTGAAGAAGCTGTAACTCATGTGCAAGCCCAGCAGACCCAGGCACACTCCGAGGAGCAGAGAAGGCTTCTCCTTTCATTTCCTGTGCCCCAAACCCCAGGGACCTTTGACACAGGTCCCTAGAATCCTGTGTTAAAGCGTTTCCTTTTCTTCTAAGAAATGTTTAGATTTATTTTACGTGTAGGACTGATTTGCATGCAGGTATGTATTTGCTCCACATGTGTACTTGGCCTGCAAAGGTCAGAAGAGGGCATCAGATTGCCTGGAACTAGAGTGACAGACGTGTGAGCCACCATGTGGGTGTTGGGAATTGAACCTGAGTCCTCTGCAAGAACAGCCAGTGCTATTAGCCACTGATCGACCTCTCCAGCTCTGAGAGTCTACGTTTAACAAGCTTGTCACTGCTGCTGGTCTCCTGACACCAGGGTCATTTCCGAGGTCTAGGGCACACACAGCAGCAAGTGTAGCACTTGAAGGATGAGGAGAAAGGGGCATAACGTGCTTCAGGAAGCCCAGTGCATCTCCAGGAGAGGACCTCGCCTCTCAGATATCTATAATCTCTAATGGTGATGCAGTTGTCAAGGCTGGGGTAGGACTGGGGGATGGGCTGCTACTGACATCTAGCAAGCAGAAGCCAGGTAAACATCCCACAATGCCCGGGCTGGCTTCAACCCACAGGACCACCCTGTCCATCAAAGCACATGGCAGCTGAGAGCGGTGATTCTCCACTCTGGCTCCCAGGCCAGCAGCAGCAGCTTTGCCTGGGAATAGGCTAGACTCCCTGGGTCCCCACCCAGATTCCACAAGCCCTTTAAAAGACTCCAGTGTGCACACAAGCACGGCACCATCCCCATGAAGGCAGTGTTCCCCAAACCTTGCCATGCCAAGTTTGCTAGACCGCAAATCTCCCAGGCCACTTCCCTGGGAGAGTCAGCTCCTGTGGGTCTGTGAGTCTGTGAATGCTGCCCTTATTACAGGAAAACGACAAGGGGTCACTGCTTTGGACTGGAAATTGAAGCTGAGACCTGCCCTGAGCCAGACAGAAAATCAAAATGGAATCACTCATGCTAAAGCTCCACACAAGTGAGAATGGCCAGGTTTTCTCTGAAATGGGTCCATTTTAAGCAGGGAGATCATGAGGTTCCCTCTTCTTTAATCCTTACCCAAAATGATGAGATTAGAAGTGTCTCTTTTCAGCCAGGCATGGTGGCACACACCTGTAATCCCAGCACTCTGGGAGGCAGAGGCAGGAGGATGGCTGTAAGTTTGAGGCCAGCCTGGTCTACAAAGTGAATCCAGGACAGCCAAGGCTATGCAGAGAAACCCTGTATCGAAAAAACAAAACAAAACAAAACAAAACAACAGAAAATGTCTTTTCTTATACAAGAAAGAGAACTTTGAAAAGAGGAATCCACATCTTGTTCCTTGTTTCTGCTTTCCTTAGTCCTTTGCTGTCTTTGGGGTTGGGAGATAGCTTGTGGTAGACAGAGCATGTGTGAGGTCTCTGGTTCTAGTCCTTAGCACCAAGACAAACAAACCTCAAATAAAACTTTACTATCCCTTTCAGGGCTTACAGCAAAACTGCTGTTTTATGGAATGGAAGAGTTTAGAATTGAAAATAAAGCTAGTGACGGTCCTGAACTGAGGAGTCTTCACCATGGCCCTGGTCACTTTTTGCTGGGGGTCTAGGAAAGGGTCTGGAAACAGAAGAGAGATTTCCTAGAGGCAGAGATAGGGAAGACACTTTCCGGCCAAGGAGCAGGCTAAACCTTTGATGGCCTTGTTTCCACTCTCACCCACTAACTAGGATGACTCTTTTGGAGGGAGATGGAGGCAGAGGGAAGTGGGGCAGAGGCACAGATGAAGTATATCCACCTCACAGACCTGAACTCTGAGAGTTCAGAGACGGGCACATGGGGTAGAGGGCACCCAGCTGTGCTGTCTTCCCTGAGGTAGATGCCCACACCCTCATCCTGTTTGTTTCCATGGACAACATCATCAGTACCTATCTTTCCAGATGTCCCTAGCAGGGGCAGAGGATGGGAATCTTTCCCCAGAGCTGCCTGAGATGGAAGCAGCTGGTACTCACCTTTTGCCAAAGCAACCAGGGCTTTTCCGCCCTCCAGCCTTACAAATAAGGTCAGCTACTGTTTACCTCATCCCAGGACACAGAGAGTGGCCTGGCTGTCTCAAACAGAAGGCAATCTAAAAACCACTTTTATTTACAATCACAGCATAGTGATTAATTCCTTTTTCACGGGAGCAGATTTTCCCGAATCATGTTTGGCTTAGATTAATAATAAAGTCAGTCTGTGTCCCTGGGGCTGGGCAGCTGGAGTCAGACAGAAGGATCTAGAAGGCTTTGATTAGCAGGGAAAGCAGGGTGGATTTTGAAGGTGCAACCTCCAAATCACCACTACATAAGTCACGCATGACCGAGAACCCAGCACCTGGGAAACAGAGGCAGCCATCGGTTTATAGTGAGTTATGAGTTAGAGCTCAGCTCAGGCTACATGAGACCCTGTTTTAAAAAGTAATGGGGGTGGGGCTGGAGAGATAGGTAAGCAATGAAGAGCACCTGCTTTTCTTCTCCCAGAACACCTGACTTCAGCTCCCAGCATCCACCTCGGGAAGCTCGTAACCCCAGTTCCAAGGGATACGACTCCCTCTTCTGTCCTCTGTGTGCACTGACACATGTGGTGAACACACACATGTGTACACACACACACACACACACAAATAAATAAAGATAGATCTTTAAGAGTTGTGGAAGGGAAAAGCGGGATTTGTCGCGGCAGGCTTTGCAGCGGGCAGGCCAGGTTGCTGCTAACTGTCCATCGGTGTCCATCGGTGTGCTTCCTGGGTTCCCAGGGCCCTGGGCCACCTCACTGTTGCGTGGTATCTAGTACTTCTTCCTTATCAGCCAGTGGTCGCCTCGGAACTACATGGATGGGCAGGTGGAACGCCTCTCTCTCTAGCCACACCATTGTGAAGAAGTGTTTTTTGTTTTGTTTTGTTTTGTTTTAAAGAGAGAACCAGCCTGCTGTCTTATGGCACTTGCCGCATACTGTACACAATCATACTGTGCATGCTCCACCCCTTCAGTGCTCAGGCCTGTCATCACCATCCCCATTCTACACACAGGAGAACTGAGGCCAGAGAGGAAGAGGCCATGTCCCAGGTCATAGAGGCCACACGATATAAGCTGGGATTTGAACCCAGGCACCTGGACACCGGCGTCCAGGCTGTTCTCCTACCTGCAGCTCTCTGCATTAGCAACAACTCTGGACTGTGTGGATGCTACTCTGGGAACAGACAGCATGATGTTTTCTCATTGTCCACCTACCCGGCACATCCTAGGCTCCTATCCTGGTCCTGCTTCTTGGTTGGAAGGGGCAGCGAGGGCAAGAGGCACAGACCTCACGTGGGCATGGCCCTGGGGGCTTTGAGTTTTGCTGGGGTGGAGGAAGGCTGGGACTGGTAGCAGTGGTCTTGGATAGGCCACCACAGCACTAAGCCAGCCTACTGCACCCAGGCCCCAGTTAAGGGGAAACACAAATTATAAAAAAAAAGGCTGGGGCTACAGCTCAATGGCTTAGCAATAACTGACTGCTCATGAGGTCCTGGCTCATCCCCTAGCATCAGAGCCCAAAGAAATCTCTTAAAGGAAACAATCTCTTAAAAAGGAAACAAGAAGCCCATAGCACAGGACAATAGTCTCAGCACCTTGGGAGGTGGAGGCAGGGGGATCAAGAGTACAAAGTCATAAGCACAGAAAAGGGAAGTGTGCTGTTAGTTTTCTGTCAACTTGACTCATGTGAGAAGAGGGAACCTCAGTTGAGAAAATGCCTCCATCAGATTGGCCCATCGGCATGTTTGTGGGGCATATTCTTGACTGATGATTGCCACATGAGGGCTTAGCCCGCTGTGTGTGGTGCCATTCCTGGGCAGGTGGTCCTGGGCAATGTAAGAAAGGCTGCTGAGCAAGCCAGTGAGCAGTGGCCCTCCATGACCTCTGCTTTAGTTCCTGACTTGAGTTTCCCTCAGTAATGAACAAGGATGAGGACTAATAAACCTCTCCTTCCAAGTAGCCTATCACAGCAGTGAAAAGCCAACTAAGACAGACAGGAAGAAAGAAAGACCTTCATTTATCATCTGTAGGAAACTTGCTGTGAGTGACTTCTGGGGAGCAAACCAGGGCCTCTGACATGCTAAATGAGTGACCTACCACTGAGCTAACTCAGCCCTAACCTCTTTAGAAGGTGGAAGAGGGTCTGGAGAGACGGCTCAGTGATTAAGAGCACTGGCTGCTCTTTCAGAGGACCTGGGTTCAATTCCCAGCACCCACATGGTGATTTACATAACAGTTTACATTCATCTGTAACACCAGTTCCACAGGGATCTGATGCCCTCTTCTGACCTCCACAGGCCCAGGTATGCACATGGTATATAGGCATACATGCAAACAACAACAGACAGACAAACAAAAGAAACAAAACCCACACACATTAAATAAATGCCAAAACGATTTCGATCTGGTCTTACAATGCAGGAATAGAATAGTTTCTTTTTTGTTGTTTCATTTTCTTTTTTTGAAGTAGGATCTCATATGTCTCAGGCTGGCCTTGAAATTATTCTGTGTAACTTGTAACTTCTCAAACCACCACAGCTAGTTTTACGTGGTGCTGGGGTTTGAACCCAAGGCTTCATGCATGCTAGGCAGAAAGTCTACCAACTGACCCACATCCCTAGCCTTAGGAGGAGTTTCCTGAGGGCTATGTAAAGGTCATTATCAAAGAAGACAGTCCTGTGTTGTTCCCCCAAACCCCACCCCCATTGACAGCTTTTGTGCCTGGCTCCAAGCTGGAGCACCCTGATTGTCATGTGATGTGAGAAATTCATTTTTCCTTCTGAGTAAAAACAATAACCATAAGCATGGCTAACCTAACTACCCAGAGGATTTATGATGGGCCAGTGTGGCAAATGCTGTCACTGGTCCTCTTGCTGGAAGACAGAGACTATTTATCTTGGAGATGGTTGTGTAATGGGCCACGTCCGCGAGGCCATCTAACAGGGCTGAGACTGCTTCGTCTTTACAGTCTGGGTAGCTGACGGCCCAGGACACGCATGGCAGTCTGCTTCAATACTCACTTGATGACAAAGCTGTCCTCTTCTTTGCGCTCTCTGTGGAGAGTGCACACTGCACTGACAGGCTTTATCTTTTATTATGTCTCTGACACAAAGGGCAGTGCCTTTGCCACAGAAGGGTACTCACTGTGGGTGGAGGGGAACCTCTCCCGATGAGTGGCACGTTTTCGTATCGTGGGTTCCCACCAAAGAGGATGGCCTGATTCCTGCGGGGCGAGAGGAGATCAGGTGTGAGTGCACGAACTCGTGCTCACGGGAGTTGAGGGTGGTGGTGATGGTAGCAGGTGGAGGTGGGTATGATGGAGGGGTTATGGGTAGGACAATAAGGGCAAAAGACCTGGGCATGGTGGCTCCCACCTGTAATCCCAGCACTTGGGAGGTGGAGGACAGCTTGGGTTACAGGGTGAGGCTGCTTTAAGGCAGCGGTTCTCAACCTTCCTAACGCTGTGACCCTTTACAGTTCCTCGCGTCATGGTGTTCCTCAGCCATGAAATCACCTTGTTGCTACTTCATAACTGTGATTTTGCTACTGTTGTGAATCACGATGTAAATAGCTGGTGTGTAGGCTATCTGATATGCAACCCCTGTGGGGTGAAGACCCGCAGGGTGAGAACCACTGCTCTAGGGGACCAGGGAAGGGACTGCATGGCTTGGAGAAGTGCAGCCTCTCAGGCCTAGGACTGACCTGGGGGCTTGTGGCAAAAGTCCATGGCTTGACCCCTATGGTATGCTTTTGCAGAACATACATGGCTGTGGAAGGGCTGGGCTACTAGTCAGGGGACCAGGGTTTGCCTCTGATGCCTTCCTTCGCTCCCTGTCTGTAAATCCAGACTCATTGCAGGTTTGGAAAGGCCATGCGGCTCAGCCTGGGTGTGGGTGACTCAGGAGGCCTACTGGGTGTGGGCAGCTCCGGAACCCTACTGTGCGTACATGTACTCGGAGACAGGGGCATTGGAGATGGTCTGGGCAGGAGGCTGAAGGCTGCACTGGCTGCCGAGGCCGCTGCTGTAGCTGCAGAAACTGTGCAGTTGCCCCCTCGTCGGGTTGTGGGCTGCGATGCGCCGAGCTTGGGGGTTGAAAGGGTCATCCTCATCAATGTCATCATAGTCTCTGTCCCTAGAATAAGATGTAGAAGTTGGCCAGCCATGAGGGCTGAGGCTCAAGGCTGTGGGGTCCTATTATGTTCCCAAATCTCTCCTTCTAGGATACTCTCAGGCCATATGTATCTTCTTCAAAATCCACAAAAGCATGGTTCTCAGAGGGACAACTTATTCCACCTGATTCCATGTCCACCTCTTCCAGGCAGCACACCGTACTGGCTGCATTCACAGGGGCGAGAGTGTGGCCCATTTGCTCTGTCCTGTACATCCACGAGGTCCTGAAATCCCACCTTATCTTTGTCTCTCTCCCCAAGGAGCCAGTAAGCTCCATCTTAACAGTAATATCTTTGACCTTCCTTGCTGTTTCCTGGGGCCTCTCTCTCTCATCATGTCACCTTGCAACGTCTTGCCAAGGAAGAAAAGCAAGGTCTTCCGGGCACTGTCAGGGAGGGGCGTCACCATCTTTGGTCCTGTTACTTTTACAGGGATCTCTTTTAACTCTCAGGGAAATCCAGCCAGCCTTCTGGGGCTGAGTGTCAGACCCTCTGCCACCCTCCTTTGCCTCAGGTGACGAGCAAATCGGTTCCCCCTGCATAAAACCTCCACACTGTGTGTGGGGAGGGTCGGGGCTCTGCCTTTCTGGTACCCTACCTGTTGATGAAGTGTTTCCAGGCCCGAGGCCCTGCACAGGTCAGGATGGAGAAAGCCAGGGCAGCCAGGAGAGAGAAGAGACCGAGGAAGAGCAGGCCCTCAATGCCGTCATAGCAGATGCCAGTGAGGGCGTCCAGGTAGTCCTGGGGAAACAGGGATGTGTCATTGTAGATGGGAGGTGGCAAAGCCTGGGACCTGAGCTCTTCTATGAAGTCCCTCTCTTCCCTGCCTACGCCTCCAGTGTTCTGGCTGCTCCCTACCCAAAGCACACCCCACTTCCTTTTAGGGTCCCCACTCTGGAGCTACCTGACAGGCCCCTTGGGATAAGGATTTGCTGACCTCCTACTGTGTGCCAGACCCTGGAGGCTGACCTCAAGATAGACAGATGAGGTGGTGGCTGTTGTAGGACTGGAAACACGTTATATCCATAAATCTTTCATTTTATGTGACAGTGTGTATAAGTGTAGATGATGTATGTTTGGGTGTGAGTATACCCATGTGTTTACTCTAAATCTATATGGGTTGTGGAAGATGTTGACATACATTGAATTACTGCTTTGGGAGTGAGGTGCTCACGTACCCCAAGTGTCCTCTGAATTATTGTATATATATGAGGCTGGTTTTTGTTTTTTGTTTTTTGGAGACAGGTTTTCTCTGTGTAGCCCTGGCTGTCCTGGAACTCACTCTGTAGACCAGGCTAGACTCGGACTCGAACTCACAGAGACCCACCTGCCTCTGCCTCCCAAGGGCTGGGATTAAAGACCATCACCACCCTTCTGTTATTTTGGTTTGCTTTTTTGTTTTTGTTTATTTAGACAGGATTTTACTACGCAGCCCTAGTTGGCTTGGAACTCACAGAGATCCACCTGCCTTTGCCTCCCAATTGCTGAGTATTAAAACCATGTGCCAATATAGCTTTTCCTCTTTCTCTCCTTCCCTATCCCTCTCTCCCTCCCCCTCCTCCATCTTTCTCCCCCTCCACCTGTCTCTGAGACACGACTTCAGTAAATAGCCCAGGTGGTCTAAAATCCATGCTCTTCCTGCTTCTGCCTCTAAGTATTGGGAGTACAAGCATGTATCAACATGTCTGGTACACACTATCCTGGCAATGAGATTGAAACACTGATTTGCAAGATGGGGAGATGGATGGGTTGACCAGAGGGCCAGAAATCTAGACAGTGGCCAATTATATAGTTATCATTTAAGTCAGGGTCTTCCAATGTTCTAAAACTAACCTGCCTAGCCCTCCTAGGTCCCAATCTTAAGTTCCTTTCATGGGTGCCCCTCATCAGCCATGGGAGAAATCAAGAAGCCAGGCACCTCCTTCCACTTCCCACTATTTGGCTTCAGCCTTATTTCTGGGCCTGAAGGGAACCCAGGTAGTCCTTTCCCTAGATCCCTGCTGGCAAAATATACCTGCTGGTGCACCCCACATCCTCCACAGCTGGTCACCTAGTACCTTGTGCAGCCCTCGGCAATCCAACATGGCAGTCAGGTGGTGCAGGCTGGTCTCAGAGGAGTTTAGCAGAAGCTGGATGCCAAGGAGGTCTTTCTGAATTAAGAGGAAAAGAGAAGTCAGAGTGAGAAGCTGAGGAGGGTGTGAACAAAGGATTACAAAGAGCCAGCTGGGCATGGTGGCACATGCCTAATCCCAGCACTCAGGGAGGCAGAGGCAGGCAGATCTCTGAGTTCAAAGTGAGTCCAGGACAGCCAAGGCTACACAGGAAAACCACGACAAAACAAAAAAGGTTACAAAGAGCTATGTGCAAAGAGGCCTTTTGATAGAAGGAAAGAGCTGAGCCACAGGGGAGTGAGGGTGTACAGCTGGCAGAATGCTCACCCAAACCTGCGGTACAGCTAGGAGAGTGGCAGAGGAAAGGGTGACTAGGGGGTGGGGTTCAACCAGGGCTCCCTTACCTCTGCTGTAGGGAAGAGGGGCACAGCAAACTGCAGCAGACCTACCACCTGGATCTGCATGGTGGTCAGTGAGCGCTGGAAGACGGTCAGTGACTGCATGGAGAGACCAAAGGCTCCCATGAGAATCCATTTCCCAGAAGTCCCACAGCTACCAGGAGGCCTGACCTCCTGTACCTACACCACCATCAGGCAAATATGCAGGGGTTGTCTGGGCAGGCTGTAACCATTGGAAAGGGCTTCTTGAACTCCGAATTCAGGGGACAGGCATACTAAATTGGATCCCATTGATTTTGGAACACTGGAAGACCTTGACTCATAGAGGGAAGCTATTCCCCAGCATTCAGACCTCTAGCCATCTGGTTAACCCAACCACTGTGGCACGATTACACTCTTCTCACACCTCTCTAGCTCTTTAACAGCTCTACAGTTCTCTTGCTTTTGGCTACTCAGATGAGCTCCTCAGACTAACAGCATGAACCTTGCCAGGGAGATGGTGAGAAATGAAGAACCTGGGGCCTGCATCTACCTCCCGCATAGCATCAGCAGAGTAACCAGCTCTATAGGGAGGTGAACACTCGTGAGCATAGGAGAAAAAGATAGAACTCGGTAACCAAGAGCAAAGCTTCCTTCAAGAGAGTGGCTAAAAGAGGAACCACAATGAAGCGATGCCCAGCTGTCCACCATCCTGTACATGGTGGGGCTCAGGGTCCAGACAGAGGGAGGTCCAGAGATGAGGGGCTGTGGGGATGTTGGGTGGCTGTACCTGCTGGAAGGGGCTGCTTAGGCTCTGACTGCAATACAGGTAGTAGCGGGTCACCTCTGCAAGGAAATAGCATCAACGTCAGAAAGCTCACAGGAAACCCTCTGTGGTTGCCTGCTCAGTGGTCCATCCTGCACCCTTCTTTCCTCAAGCTCACAAAGGAGGCAGTTTTCCAGGAAAGGGTCCATGGTCTGGGGTAGGGAGAGGCTAGGTGACTGCAAGTAAAGTGTAGGTAGCGGATCCTGTGGGCTTACCCCATTCCTGTGGGGAATGGCCCTAAGGACAGAAGGTCCCAGAGGACATTACCTGAGCTGACCTGGTTCTGTGTGTTGTTCAGAATGTAGATGTCAGGAGCCATACAGAAGTCACTGGTGCCCTGAGTCATGGAGACAGAAGTGGGTAGCGAAAGGTCAGACCCTCAGGCGCTGGGAGGAGTGAGTCTGGCCCCTGCTGCCCTGGGGAGGCTCCTTTGGATTCAAAGCTTCTTCAGAGTACCCTGACATTCATCTCCTCCTCCATACAAACACGATCACCCTTCCCCCCGACATATGCAATCACCCACATGCACTCAGGACCATGGAGCGTGGTTTTATAGACGAACCACCAGCATACATAATGAATTAGCCAGCCTATTATTATGAGTCAGAGGTGCAGCGCCAGCAGGCCTGGTGGCGTACTCTCACCTCTTGGCTGGAGCAGCAGAGGTGAGAAGCTGGGCTAGGGTTGCTGCAGAGAAGTGTTGGCAAGCAGAGAAAGGCCATTGTCTTTGAGTCACCCCTCCAGAAAGGGAACTAGCAACCGCCTGCCTTTATGAGGCCTTACTAAGGCTGAGGCTTCTCTTCTTTCTCTGCTTAGGCCAGGCCTGAGCTTTAACCCACATCTCCTGGGAGAGTGGGTTAAGATATTGTGAGGGTACATAGCTTACTGTGAGAAGGCAAATTTATCAGTGAAGGTGATGTATGCATGTGTATATATGCAGCATGTGTTCATGTATGCATGCATGTGTGTGCATGTTTGTGTCCATGCATCATTCATTCAATGGTGAATAGGATGGAGGAGGGGCGGAGGTGAGGAAGAGAGTACCTAGTGCAAGTAAGGTGGACGGGGTGAGGGTGGAGAGCCACCAAAGCAGGAAGTTCTTGATTATCTGAAGGGGTCATCCCTGTGACTCTTGTGGTGAGAGCTGTGTCAACAGCCAAGATGGCTACTACATATTAAACAGTCACTGTGTGCCATTTGAGGCGCCGAATACTATTATTCTCCCCATTATACATAGGAGAAAACTGAGGCACGGAGAACTTCAGTAGCTTTCCAGAGGTTCTGCTGCTGGGCAGGGATGAAGGGATGCCATGGCTAAGGCTAAGGGTTCAAGCAGCTATGCTCCTGCCTCTTGCCCAAGAGGTGGGCCTGTATGTTCTGGGCGTGTCCTGTCCCATTCGAGATACCTCACCAACTCCTCCTGCTCTCTTCCTTCTTTGCATTGCCTCTCCTCTGTACAAAGGGCCCTCATCTCCTAAAGTCTGTCTGTGGCTCACTACTGACTACATAGGACTGGCCAGGAGGGCCAGCAGTGAGGGCCTACACCAAAGGTCAGGAGGCTCTGAGCTTGGTTCCCCAATCCCCACCTTCCCTCCACTCGGCACACCCTGGGTCAGTCTCTGTCCTATGGATGCCCTGCCTAGTGAGCAGGCTGGGGGAAGGGTGATGGTGTGAATCTGGCCCCACTGCCCTCAAAATAGGCTTCAGAGGGCAGGGTGGCAGGGAAGGAACACAAAAGCTCTGCACAATGACCCCTTGACAGCTGGTGCTCTCCTCCCCGCCCCCTGCAGCTCCTCTTCACCCCTCTTCCTATTAAAATGCTACAGCAGCCCCAGCTCTGTCAAAGGCCCATTCAGCGCCCTCACACCCGCCTCTCCCCGCACAAGGGCCTGACTAAAGGAATTAGGGAAATGGCATGGCTCCCAGCTCCCTGACATTCCATAGCACCCGGCTGCAGATAAAACAGCCTATGGGCTCCTTGAACAGCAAGATGCTTGGTGGGAGAAGGCACTGCTGGGAGGGAGCCAGCTCCCAAGGGGCACCTCACCCGTGACAAGCTGGATGCCATTGCTTCTTCAAAAGGCAGAGGCTGCCAGAAGCGGGACCGGCTCCACAGGCTCAGCATGGAGAGCTTCCCCGTGCTTGTCTCTGGAGAAGAGGCTGCCAGCCAGGCAGCTGTGCCCATCACTCTGGGCAGCGGAGCCCCTCCCCACACTGTTTACAACCTCCAAAGGCCACCACGATGCATTGAGCACAGCTCTAGCACCATCTTTTCGGGACCAGTCCTTGGTATGTGGTCACGGCACAGAGAGGGGAGATGAGAAGCACCCATTTCCGATCCTCTTAGTTAGCTTTGAGACAGGATCTCAAGTAACCCAAACTGGCCTTCAACTTACAGCCTCTCTGCCTCTAAGGCTCTTAAGTGCTGGGATACCAAATGTGCGCTAGCAAGGCCACTTGATGCAGCGCTGAGGGCTAAACTCAAGGCTGTGTCAGCAAGTTACTGACCAAATGAGCATCCCCAGCCCCCGACCCCCTTCGAGCTTAGACCTACAGCTTCTTACACACGAGGCAAGTGCTCTGCCGTGGAGCTGTTTCCAGCCCCACTCCCTTCAGAGTTATCTTATTTTATGGGCATGAGTAGTGTGTACATGTATGCACGCGGGTACCACATGTGTACCTGGTACCCTCAGCAGTCAGAAGAGGACATCAGATCCCCTGGAATTGAAGTTATGGGTGGCTGCAAGCCACCACGTGGGTAATAGGAATGGAACCTGGATCCTCTGCAATAGCAACAGGGTGCCCTCCTGCCTCAGTTTCCAGAGTAACTGGGGCCATAGGCTTATGTCACCAGAACTGGCTCCTTAGCACTTCTGAATGAGCCTCTAACAAGAGTGGCCTTGTTAGTGGCCTGGGTGGCACCAGGTCCCATTTATTCTGTGGGTATGACAGACAAAATGCCCAAGACCAGAGCTCCTAGCCATCCCCGGGGACACCAGGCAAGGTGTGATGTGGGTAGGGAAGAGCAGGTGCAGTCCAGAGGGTTGGCTTACAAGCCCTCAAATCAGAGCGGTTGCTCGAAATCTCCTAGTAAAACGTGTCTTCCCCAGCACACACGCACAGTTGTATGTGAGTGCATGTCCACACAGGCACACAGCGACACGCACTCATAGAGCAAGCACCTGTAACTAGTGATTCACACCATGTCTCGATAACCTCGCCTACAAGACTTCCACTGAGTGACCGGCGGGGAACATCGTGTTCTCCTGAGTTCTGCAGCCCAAGGCTCACAGCAACACGCACCTGCGGAGTGAGTGAGCCCTCAGCCAGCTCAGCTCCAAAATCAGAGGTTTCTGTTGTTGCTGTTTTAACATTCTCATATAGAATGTCCCTCGCTTTTCCATGACTCGAGGCACCACATTCAGAAGCATATGTATGCACAGATGTGAACATGAGGGCAACAGGGCCGCAGGGACAGAAGGTACGGGATGCTGCCTTCTACATACGTGTGCCAGGAGGCAGGTAAAGGGACGGGCTTCCGAACCCACCCAGCTTCCACCGGGTTCACTCTTCACACCCACATGGAAGCTAACCCGGCCACCCATGAGTTCTCTGCATGCCCAGACAAGCAGCGTGTCTTGTCTTGGCTCTGTCCCCGAAGCCCTGTTAACTTTGGACAAGCCTCTTCCTGTTCTCTGAGCCAGGCCAAAGTGATCCAAGCCTCTTTAGTTCTGAGATTCCGAGATGGTGGGTAAGGGACTGAGCCAGAGCTAGCCTGTCTGGGGTCTTTGGACAGGATAGGACAGACAGAACGTCCTGCTCAGACCAGCCACCCGCAATCCCTCCCACTTACCACCGCTGCGGCGGTATCAGCAGCCAGGGAAGCCCAGCTGAGGATCAGGGTCAGCACTCCACAGAACAGCATGCTAGGAGAGAAGCAGACACTCTGGGGTCTTGTGAGGGGGGTCTTTCGGACAGCAGTCATCCTACCTAAAATTCAGCACCCTTCCTGACGGGCAGAACACTAACACCCCCCCCCCCCCCCACACACACACACAAACTCCCTCCACTCCCGCTAACTGCTAGGGGAGGGCTGTGGATCCCAGGGCTTTGGTCGATGAGACCCAGCTGTAACAGGTACAGAGATAGCTGGGGCGTGGGGCATGTGACACACAAGGAGCTCCTGCCTACAAGCAAGTTGGGTATTGAAGAGGGGATCCTGGCTACTACCGCCCTCACAGCCTGGCTATGCCCTCTTCTCCCTCCATAGGTGGTTCCAAGCCCGACTCTTCACTCCAGCACCATATACAGGGCTACTCACGAGGCTAGGAGACACCTGGAGCGCCTGGCCAGTCCCAGGCAGGTGACAAGGCAGATGACCAGGTCCAGGATGAAAAGCAGGAGGTAGGAAAGCCACCTGGGCAGAGGCAAAGACAAGGTGAGGACCGGCAGACTAGAACTCCCCACCTACTGCCCATGGGAGGTCAGAACAGCAGCCCAGGCCAGGGGGAACACAGACCTGAGGCTGAGGGTCAGCAGGGGCTCAAGCAGCTGCAGCCTCACTTTTACCCAGACAAAGCTGAACTCTCCTGCCCCTTGCCTTAACTGCCTAGTGGAATACCTAGACTAGTACTGGGCACTGGAACTTTCCATCATGGCAGAAACAATCTACATCTGTTTTGTCCATTCTGCCTGCTACTATTCACAGCTGCCTACTGAGAACCCAAGATGTGAGTTACACAAGAGAGAAAATGAAGCCAACTGTGGTGGCAGACACCTGGAATCCAAGCTCTTGGGAGTTCTAGGCCTAACTGGACTATGGGAAACTCAGCCCATTCCCTCAAAGGATATGAATGTCTCAGTTTAATTAATATTACTATTTTTTTTATAACACTAGGGAACAAGCCCAGGGTCCCACACATGCTAACAAGAATTCTGCCATTGAGCTACATCCTGGCGCCCCTGCCCAAATTTTAATACACTTTGACATTCGTGGTTGAAGGCATCCACAGTGGACCACGTAGCTGTTTCTGTGGCTCCCGCCCCACAATCAGGTGGTTCCCATATGCCTAGCTTTGTCTCTAGAACCCTCAGAGAGCAAATCTAGTAGGGCCTGACACGACAGTCTCAGACCCGAGAGGCCTCCTGCTTTGATGGACGTGCACCTGTCTTTCCCAAGGCCTCTCATCTTGAACATCTAGCCTTTGTGCAACATACAGTGTAGTATCAGATGTTTCTTCAACCAACATTTGTGCCAGGTGCTGAGCCTGGTGTCGGGATGCCAGTGTGAGAAGGCTTTGCTCTTGATTATCAGGAAGTTTAGGTGGGGCCAGGGTCAGGATGCCCCAGGGGTCTCATCTAACCTCTGAACTCACTCCTGCGTTCTAGAAAAAGGTTGTCCTATACCAGCTGGAGACTATGGTATGCCATTTCCTTCACTTTTTTTTTTTTTTTAATTTAAAGGCAAGGTCTCTTAATCTTTTAACTTAAAGGCAAGGTGTTCCACGGTGGCTTCAAAACTTGATATGTAGCTAAGGAGGACCTTTAACTCCTGATTCTTCTGCCTTCCCCTTCCAAGTGCTGGGATTACAGGCGTGTACCACCACATATGTTATATGGTGCTTCAGACTGGACCTGGGGTGTAAGTAGGACACTATGGAGGTGGCAGGAAGTGACAAGGGGCTCTGAGGAAGATGGAGCAAGCTGGAGGTCCTCAGAAGCCGGATAGGATTCTGTCTTTGTGAATGGAGGTTTGATGCTTGAAAGCAGGGGCTTAACAGAAACCTTCAGTCCCCAAACAGAGCAGCAGGTACCCATGGCAGGCCTCTGTGGTCCCAGAGATGGGATGCATCTCTGAGACATGGATAGAGCTGGCCTGCCACTTGCTGGAGGCCACCAAGGAGCCAGTTCTCTTTGAGAGAGAGTTGGAATCCATCTAGTGTCATGTCCCACTCTACAGATTAGAAGGTGGAGACTCATAGCAGTTGACATTTCTACTAGCTGCATGGGAATTCCACACTCTCCTTCCTTGAAGGGCCATAGGTCCCCTCCCCCACTCCTGGCACCGTCCAAAACGTGGGTTCCATGCTCCCAACCTAAAGGTGCCTTGCTCCTTCTGTCCCCTCTCCCATCTGCAGGAAATCCAGATGTAGAAGGGCTCCTGACCCCTCCACAGCTGTAGCTGTGCCTTCACAACTCCCGCACCGGCTGCTGCTGCCTGCGTAAGCTGTTCCTAGAAACAGCTCCTGGGCGGATGCTCTCCCAGAGGAGCCCCTGGGAACTAGGGGAAGGAGTTCTCACCATGAACTTGGCTCTTGTCTGCTGAGCTAACGCTGCTGGCTTCACCCCACCCACCCACCCCCACACTCCACCACATCCGGCATCTGTAAGCCAGCGTGTACAGCTCAACCCCAGGCGGAAGCCTCGGCTCGTTATGTCCTCCGAGCTGGACATGTCCCCTAGTAAAGTGCTCTGCTGGGAGTGGATGGCTGGCTTAACAACTGCTGGAAAGCCTTTCTGGAAAGGCTCCCCAAGAAGCCTGAGAGCTGCAAACACTAGCAGAGTTTGGGAGCTGCAGGAGCCTGCTTGAACTAGTCTTGCTCCTTAACGTGACCTGATAAGAAGCCCCTTTGGCTCCTCAGATATATAAAATCCTTACCGATTTCATCCCAGTCTTTACTAAGATGTCCACAAGATCAGCAAGGTATACTCAAGAAAAAAAGGCCAGGTCAATAAGGATGGCCCTCATCCCCAAGGATACCCCACTGGTCCTGATGTGATTTCAAAGGCTTGGGTAGTGGACAATATGCTTAACAAGAGGCTCATCAGACCCCACTGTTGAGGGTCACAGGTGACGGCAGACCATCTCCTCAGAGCTGGCAGTTCCTTTCAGTCCCCTAGGAGGAGGGCATTTTGCCCATGAGTGTCTGAGAGGAATAACACAAAGGGCTCTGTCCATCTAGAATATCTATGACATGAAGGAACCTCGGTCTGTGGGATGAGCGATGGGAGCACCACCTGGATCCCAGAGTACCACACACACAGCTCAGGGCTGCGTGAGTACTTCCTTTTGGGAAAGGGAGTCTGAGGTGGGAGGCCTTGAGCATTTCCTCTGGATTCAGTCCAACAGCTGCCTGCTGGGTGGGACTTGTGATATAATAGTCCAGAAAACCAAGGGTACATTGTGCCATGTTGCCACAGAGGCTCTGAGTTTTGTCAATGGCTTGAGGAGGTGCCAAGCCATTTGGGCGAGGAACGGATTCCAAGAGCAGACCCTTGTAATGCAAGACCCACGTATTTGTTCCACCCTGTATCTATGGTGCTGGATGCCTGACCCTTTGGGCACAGTGACTCGAGTGTCACACACGACGCTTGAACATTACATGACTGCATGCTACCATTCTGATGAAGGTCAGCCTAGGACAGAGACAGCCACGCCTCCTTCCTTGGCTCTCAGCAGTGACCCACCGTTCTGAGACCCTGTATTAGGAAGGAGGGCAGCCAGTCTGGGGTCTATGACCTGAGTTTAGCCGTTTAACCAGGGACATAAACAGATGCCACAGGCTGGATGAGACAGAGATGGGCTTGGCGATACCTATGTGAGGTGGTGTGGTGATTAACCTTGTCATCTTGACAGGACCTAGAATCGCCTAGGAAACAAATGTCTGGGCATGCTGAGAAATGCTTTTTTTTTTTTTTAATGTGTATATGCACACATGCATGTCACACAGTGTACAGATGAAAGGGCAGCTTGCAGAAGCCAGTTTCCTACTTCCATCGTGTGGGGCCCTGGCGCTGAATTCAGGCTGTCAACGTTGGCTCCAGAGGCCTTTACCAGTTAAACTATTTCAACAGCCCAAGATTTTCCGGGCCATGTTAATTGAGGTGGTCAACTGGTTGGTTTGACGTCCACTTGACACAATTTAGAGTCACCAGAGGGAGGAGGGAGTTTTCAGTTGAGAAAATATCTCCATAAAGTCAGGCTGCAGGCAAGCCCATGGGGCAGCAGCTCTCAACCTGTGGGTCGTGATACCTCTGGGGGATTCATACCCGATATCCTGCATATCAGATAGTTACACTACAATTCATAACTGTGGCAAAATTACAGTCATGAAGTAGCAAGTAAATAATTTTATGTTCGGGGTCACCACAATATGAGGAAATGTATTAATGGGTGCCCTTGGGAAGGTTGAGAGCTGCTGCTGTAGGGCATTTTCTCAATTAGCGATCAATGAGAGAGGGCCTAGCCTATTGTGGGTGGTGGTGTCCCTGGGCTGGTGGTCCTGGCCTCTATAAGGAAGCAGGCTGAACAAGCCATGAAGGAGCAGGTCAGTAAGCAGCACCCCTCCATGGCCTCTGCATCAGCTCCGGCCTCCAGGTTCCCACCCTGCTTGAGTTCCTGACCTCAGTGCTTCTGATGATGAGCTATTATACGGAACTGTGAGGGAAATAAACCCTTTCCTCCCCACGCTGCTCTTTGCTTGGTGTTTCATCACAGCAGCAGAAACCCGAACTGGGACAGTAACTAAGACAAACAGGAAAGCTGAGTACGAACACTTATCCTTCACTTCCTGACTATGGATGTGATGGGACCAGCTGCCTCACACTCCTGCTGCTATGGCTTCCCCTCCACAATGGACCACAGTCTCAAACTGTCAGCCCAAATAAACACCTATTGCTTCCTTAAGCTGTTTTGGTCAAGATATTTAGTCACTGAAACGAGAAAAATACATAGCAGATGTGTCAGAGGTGAGGTGGCGCCCTCAGTGCCCCGTTGCTCAGGTGGTACACAGTGAGGCTGCGGGGTGGAGCGGCTGGGTCTGCCTCTGTAGCCCCACTTGTCCCTGCCGTTGCTTTGCAAGTTCCTCACCTGTAGTATTCTACGTAGGCAGTCTGGTGGGACAGCTCGGTCAGCTGCACGGTGACCTCCCTCCACACGGGCAGCCCCGAGAGCTGGCTGACGACGTTGCCTGCCATCTGCTGCATGAACCTCAGGGTCTGGATGTAGTCACCCCGAGCAGCAAAGATCTCGCTGAGCCGGGCCAGGTGCTGTTCCAGCTCCATCTTCATCTTCTGGGTGTTTCCAGATACCTGGGGGGTGAGGGGAGGAAGGGGCTAGGAGTCTGGCCCTGGGATAGCTCTGGAAGGTCTCTGCAGGAGGAAGTAGTGATTGGTCAACTGGGCTTGAAGGGATGTTCCTCACTGACACAGACCTGGGAGCTCGTGAGATTCTTGCTCATGAGGAGTAGCCAAGGACAGTCTTTTCAGCTACTGCCATTGTGTGGGTCTGGAATGTTCCCCAAAGATCCATGCTGAAGACACGGGCACAAACTTTGTGATACTGGGAAGTGGTGAAGTGTTTAGGAGGTGGTTAGGTCTGTGACAGGACTTCAAGTCATTGAGGAGCGCCCGTCCTCAAAGAAGGCATTGGAATACTTTTGTTTTTGGAGCTAAGGTCTCTCTGTGTAGCCCTGGCCATCCTGGAACTTGCTCTGTAGACCATGGTGGCCTCAAACTCTCAAGAGATCCACCTGCCTTCTGAGAGTGGGATTAGAGCTGTGTGTCACCACTGCCCACGGGGCTGATACTGGAATCCTTTTATTCTTTGCTTCTGTGTAGAGCGAAGTGAGCAGCTCTACCCATCGCATGGGTTCATTCACCATGGCCTCGCCAATCAAAGACTCCAAAGCAATGGGACCAGGCAGCAAGAGCGGAAACCTCCCAGGATGAACCAAAACAAGCCTTTTTCTTTTCCTTTCCTTCCTCTCACTTATTTAAAAACTGTTGCATGTTTGAGACAGGGTCTCAGGTAGCCCAGGCTGGCCTCTGACTTAATATGAAGATGAGAATTACCTAGAATTCCTGATCTTCTTGCCTCCAGCTCTCAAGTGCTGGGGTTACAGGTGCACAAACCTTTTTTCTTCATAAATTTGATGGCCTCAGGGCTTTGTTATGGTGCTGGAAAGTAGATGATAAATCCATAGCCCAGTCAATCACGTTTGGCCCTGTTGTTCTGGCTTTTACGGGGCTGTAGCTGAAGTTTCTCTAATCTGAAAACTCAAATTTTCTTAATGCTCTGGCAGGAAATTCTATACAAATAACTCCAAATATGACCTCCAAACCCCAAAATCTGAAATCCCAAACACTTCAGGCCTCCTGAACTCCAGAGAGGGAGGCTCAACCTGGACTCCAAATAGGAAACCAAAAGAATCCGTTTTTCTTCCATAAATATTTTCCTAAAGTTTGAATCACTTGAGATTATGACATCAAAGACTTAGAGCCCCAGGCTGCTGCCTTGTGCTTTAATCCTGTAGGGTTCCCAGGTGCCCTCCAAGAGAAGGGGTTTGTCTCTGAGTTAGAATCAGCTCGTAGTGTCCCAACTGCAAGGCAGAACAATGCGGCCTTGAAAACAGAGAACAGATGCCATCTCCTCCCAGCCAGGCCCTAGGACAGGAGGAGGAAATCAGTGTCTTTGCCTGGGCTCATGTCTCACCATCCACCAGGATGTCTGTCCTGCTAGTTGAGTATAGAGGCACCTGTCATTTGCTTGGACCTTAAATGGACCCCAAAAGAACATCTGTCTATACAGACAAAAATGAAAGAATCGCTCAATGGCTGTCCTCGCCAGCTCCTAAGCAAGGGGCAAGGTGCAGCTTATACTGCAAAGGTCATACATACTCTTTGGGGAGGCCACAGCACCACAGCCATCTGAACAGAGCCTGCATGCTGGCAGCTGAGGGAAGAAGAACTTTGTTTGTTTTATTTTGTTTTCTTGCTAATGGTCTTGCTAATTCCTGAAGCTAGCCAGTAACTGGCTATATAATCCAGGTAGACCCTGAATTTGAGCTCTTCTTGCCCCAGCTTCTGTGATAGCTGGGACAATAGGACTATGCTACCAGGGTCTGGCTTTGCTGCTTTGACACTGTCATACTCAAACAGCTGGAAGGAGGGCAGGGTACCTTGTTAATCCTTACTCGGCAGGCTTGGCTCCCACAGCCTGCAAGAGAAAGGCACAGAAGAGGGGCAGAGGAGGGCATAGCAATGAAGCCCACAGGCCAGCACTCTGAGTTCAAGGAATCATGGGAACTTCATGTTAACCTTGTGGCTTTTCAGGTCTTCCTTATGCTGTGACTTCCTGATTCTAGGAGAAAGGCTCTGTTTCTCTCTCTGTTAGCACCTCTTCCATTTTCTGGCTTCTGCTGAATTCTTTGGAGGTGGTGACGGATTACGAGACAACAAGATAGAGACAGATACAATTGGCCATGCTGGCTCATGTCTGCAGAATCCTAGCACTTGGGAGGTTGAGGCAGGAGGCCTTGAAGTTAAGGCCATACTGGACTACAGATGGAACTGTTATCTCAAAATTAAAAAAAGGCCTTCCCAAGCCTGGCAGTGATGGTATACACCCTTAATCCCAGTACAGAGACAGAGGCAGACAGATCTCTGTAGATCTCTGGTCTACAAAGAGAGTTCCAGGACAGCCAGGGCTGTTACACAGAGAAACCCAGTCTCAAAAAACACAAACAAACAAAAGTCAGGGTTGGGCATGGAGCTCAGTTGGCAGAGTGCTTGCCTTGCATGCAGGAGGCCCTGACTTAGATCCAGAGCATCCAGCAGATTGGGTGTTGCACTGAACATTATAATCCCAGCAGTCAGGAGTCTGAGGCAGAAGGACTACTAGTTCAAGGTCATCCTTGGTTCTGTAGGGAGTTTGAGGCCAGCCTGAGCTATCAGTGAACCTAATTTAAAAAAAACAAGCATAAAGATAACAGACAAGTCCCTCCCACAAACAAAACATAGAAAGAAATAGAAAAGTGAAAATTTTAGGGAACATCCAGGTGTGATGGCACGGGCCTAGTCTCCACAGAGAATTCTAGGCCAGCCAGAGCTCTGTAGAGAGTCCCTGTCTTAAAAAAAAAAAAAAAAAAAAAAACAAACAAACAACCAACCAACCCACCCAAACAACAATAAAAATTAGAGACTAGGCCAGATACAGTGTCTAAGGCCTGTAATCTGAAAGCTCAGAAAGTTGAAGCAGGGGGACCAGGAGTTCTAGGACAGCCTGGGCTACATAGCAGAACCTTGCAGAAGAGAAAAAGAAAAGCCACAGGACAACCATTGTTTTTCATGGGACGAGATGATAGATAGATAGATAGATAGATAGATAGATAGATAGATAGATAGATAGATAGATATTTAGATGGAGAAATGCAGAGGTGGATGGATGGATGGATGATAGAACGAATCACAACAGTGGCCTCCCTGAAGCTTTGTGCTTGCTCACATGGTTCCCAGTCCTTGAGGTTCAAGAAGAGAGGTGTGATGTCCCCAAGATGGACTCTGGCTTTCTGTTGGGAACGGAGGATGAGGGGGGCAGCCCATCTCTTCCACCAGGTACATAGATACATAGAAAGTCATTAAGGACAGGAGTGTGGTTTTCAAGTTGTGGTCCCCAGGCCAGCAGCATCTCGAAAGAGCTCATTACAAAGGCAGATTCTCAGCTTGCCTCAAGAAGGTGAACTGGAGCCCCAGCAGGGTGGGGCTACTACAGCCTAACAAGCTCTCCTGGTGATTCTGACGCAAGCACCAGGTTAAGGACCTCTGGGAGGGAGGAGCACTGGACTGACTATGGAGCCGGTTGAGAGGAACACCATCTCAGATGCAGGGAAGTAGGAGGAGGGAAAGAACATAGGGGAGATGCCACCTCTCTGTGCCTCAGTTTCTTCACTGAGCGGTTTCCCATAGGCCTATTCTGGGTTCAGGGTGGTGGGGGTTTCTAGTAGAGGGTCCCTGGCTTTTGTGTTTGAGGGCAGCCCTGGAAGGGCCTCTAGTTGACCGTTTGGATGCTAGATCTGTGCTCCAGCAGGGCCCAGCTTTAAGTCATCCCGGCTGGCGGGGTGAGTCTCCATCCTGACTCTGCCACCCACAGCCTCCCACAACCCCAGCACTTCTACTTCATGGTTATTGCAGTAATTATTATAATGACACCATTATCTTAATCCTCCTGGGAGAGAGCACGCTATAGTTTACCACTTTTGCTGGTGGTAATTCACCTGATGCCATCTAGCCATTTACCTGCAATTTGGACCCCACCCCTTGGATGAGGGGGAAGGGGCTATAAGGATCTAACATCTCCCTGGAGTCCTCAGGCCTGAGACTGTTGGGCACCCACCTTGAGCCTTCATTATCCCCTTAAGTAAGAGAGGCAGAAGCTTCTGTAGCTGGCAGCACCATCACAAAGCCCCGGGACAAACGTCCCACACTGCAGTAACACCCAAAGGGTAAGGGCCTGTCTTCAGGGACAGGGTGACAGAAGGTCTAGAGAGCAGGACTTACAGCCAAGTGCTCAAACCTGCCTCTGGAGGGCTGGGAGCCTAAGACAAGTTCCCAGATAGCAGCAAGTTCCTCCCCTGAGATAAGGATGGAATTTTCCCAGCAGTGAAGGTCAGAGCGCTGGAGCTTTTGAGCATGCAAGCCTCTCCCACTTGGAAGGAGGCTGATGGCTGGAGACGGGGGAGACAGTACAGTGCCAAGGACAGGCAGAAGGTGTCCTTGGGGGCTCGATCCCCGTCAGAACCAAACTGAGTAAGAGTGGATACGCTCCCAGGGGCCACCTCCCAGAAATACTGGGCAGGACACAACTGGAGCAGCACAGCCTGTCTCTTTAAGGTGAGATTTTCTGTCCCTGCCCCCCAAGGGCTGATGGAAGGATTAGAACTGTAGAGGAGCTTAAAGGAGCACTGGGGAGGGGGCAGATGAGGTTGAGTCCTCCCTAGGAGGATGCCAGGCCGTCACCTATTCCTTTAGTTAGGGCTGGGCTGGTGGTGAAGCCCGTTGCCACAAATGTGCCTTTTGATACTGTGGAGGGACCTGGTTTAGAGAGAGTCAGATGTCCACGAACTAATTTTCCTAAAATCTGCATTTGGCCTTTTCCACCAGAGTCCTCAGGTAAACCAGGACAGGCACCTGTCATGGACAGGAGCTGTCATGGAGCCACATAGAACACCAGCAGGAAAGAAGATTGGCACTCTGCAAGAGTGGCAGGCAAGCAGGGGCCAGGGTGATGGGCCAGAGTCTCCAGACACACAGATGGGTTTATGAAGACTCTTCCCACTGTGCTTGTGTGCTTGCTTGCGTGCGTGCATGTGTGTGTATGTGTGTGTGTGTGTGTGTGTGTGTGTGTGTGTGTGTGTGTGTATGTTCCCTTGTTTCTGAAGTTTTTTTCCATCACTTTTTTTTTTTTTTTTTTTTGTCCCTAGTTTCCCCTTTTGATTTGTGGATCAGAACTTTGTACCAAATACTTTGAGCTAACATTAAACAAAAAAGAAAGTTCACATTCAGAACTAAGGATGTAGCTCAACTGGCAGGGCGGTCACCTAGCATGCACCACGCTCAGGGTTCAAACTCCAGCACTGCATATACCAGGCTCAGTGGGGCACACCTGTACACAAGTGACAGGCCCTCGCTTACACCAGGCACAGTAGCGCACTACACACAAGCAAACGAACCAGACCAACAGAGTTCCAGGTTAGACCCAGCCTCAAACAGGCAAACAACCCATGCCCGGTACGCTATGGTGGCAGTGTTTCCAGCACTGGGTATGCAGAGGCAAGACATCACGGGAAGTTCCAGGTGAGGCTGTTCTGCACAGTGGGCTCCAGGCTAGTCAGGGCTACACGGGGAGACCCCTTGTTTTAAAAACAGCAACAACAAATAGCTTCAAACCCATGTTCGAGGTTTCCTTCGGGGGTGGGGAAGTGTCCCGATGTTCTTCAACCAACTGGGGCCCGTGGGCTTGAGCTTCCCCGAAACCTCTCTTGACCTGGGTCATAGAAACTGCTTTTGCCTTTGGCAGGACTACTGCTCAGCAGCAGCCTGGCCCACAGCAGCCATCACACAGCTCTGCAGGGTGCAGCTGGGCTCCTGAGATCTGACTGGTACCCTTGTTCCGGCCTTGCTGATCTCATGGGTTGTGTCTGTGCCCAGCCACCTGCCCACAGTCCTTACCAGCTCGTCAATTCCAGAGAAGGTGTGGTTCGCGTTGTCCAGGGAGTAGATCAGCTGGTGCACCCCGTCGTTTGTCTCGCTGTTTCCATAGAAACCAACACCCACCGCAGCACTGCAAGCAGAACCCCAAACAAAGGTTATGGTAGCAAGTGAGCCTCAGCTGTTTGCCTGTCCCGGTCCCCATCTGTAGCACTGCGATTACAGATGTGTGGGCCTCTTCCGTGGGTGCTGGGAATCCAAACTCAGGTGGATTCCTCAGGTCTGAACAGTAAGCACTTTATCTAGTTCTCCAGTCCAGAAAGTACCGTCAATCTTCCTTCTTTCCTTTCCTTCTTTGTACTGAGGATTGAACCTAGGGCTATAGGCATGGTAGGCAGACAATCTACTACTGGGGAACATTCCCAGCCCTTGCATTTATCTTTTTAAAAATGTTTCTATAGCCAGGCAGTGGTGGTGCACGCCTTTAGTCCCAGCACTTGGGAGGCAGAGGCAGGTGGATCTCTGTGAGTTGGAGGCCAGCCTGGTCTACATAAGTGAGTTCCAGGACAGCCATCCAGGGTTGTTACTCAGAGAAACCCTTCCTTGAATAATCAAAACAAACAAACAAACAAACAAACAAATTGCTTTTAGGGCTGTAGAGATGGCTCAGCGGTTATGAGCCCTGGCTGCTCTTCTGGAGGACCCACATTCAGTTTCCAGCACTCTAATTGTTATAGCTCTAGTTCCAGGAGGATCTGACGCCCTCTTCTGGTCTCCAAAGGCACTGTGTGCATGTGCTGCCCATGCGCATGCAGGCAAGCCATCCATACACATAAACATAGATAGATGTAAAAAAAAATGTTTTTAGAGTGGTTCCAGGTTCACAGAAAAGCTGAGCAGGTACAGAATTCCTCTGTTTGAGGACAGTCCCCGTCATGGCCTCCTTTACGAAGCAGAGTCATTGCTCCAATGGGTAGCCCAGTGGAAACATGGGAACTATCCAAGGCCCACAGTGCGCACAGGGGTCACTCTTGGCTGAAATTCTACAGGTGGACACACAGTGTTGGGTATTGTCCCTGCCCTAAAACTCCCCGGTGCTCTGCCCCTCCTCCCACCCCGGGCCTTACAGTCTCCAAGGCTTTTACTAGAATGTCCTACAGCTATAGTCACAGCACGAAGCCTCTTCCGTTCACTTGCTTTTTCCTTTCTTTTCCCTTTTTTTTTTCCTTAGTGACAGGCATTCAAGGTCCCCAGTGTCTTTCATGGATCAACAAGACACTTGCTTTCAGCTCTGCATAATATTCCATTGTCCGAATATATCCAAGATCCTTCAGCTACTGAAGGATCTTTTACTTGGTTCCAGGTCTGGGGAACTGTGAATAAAAGCCACTACTAACAGCCCCAATGTGGGCTTTTGACTTCAGCCTGGGAGCTTTACCCTGTGGCTTGGGATCAGGGGGCATTGTCTAAGGGTGAAGGTTAAGGGCCACCCAAAGCGGCCCAGCAGAAGCCTGCTTGTCCTGGCTGGTACAGACTTCTGAAAGGCACAAAACTGCAGACAAGCCTGGGGGTTCTGATTTGGTGCAGCCTCTGATTTGACACACTCAATATCAACCTCCAAGTTCCTCCTGACATAGCCAAGAACCCTGGATTTCGGGGTTCCCCTATCCCCTGACTTCCCTATATATCCCCAATCTAGTCCCCTACTATGAAGGTTTAGCTTCTGGCAAGTTCCTTCTTACAGAGCTGAAGCCTGCCTGCCTCACTTAACCCAGAACCTGCTGGGCCCTGGTTCATGCTTTGGGGTGGCTGGAGGAAGTCTCCAATTCTGCCACAAACTGCACCTGTCAGCCTTCCTTCCTTCCTCCCTCCCTTTCTTCCTCCCTCCCTCCCTTCCTTCCTCCCTGTGCTGTGGTTGCTCTGTCCACCTTTCTCAAAGTGGCCCCTTTGTCACCTCCTGCCTTCTGTTCTCTGAGACAGACATATGAGACAGGGTCTCATGTATCCCCAGCTGGGCCTCACACATACACCCCAGCTGAGTGTAGTTCGAGGATGACCTTGAACTCCTGATCCCCTGTCTCTATCTCTCACAGGGATTGCAAGCATGGGCCACCACGCCTGGTTTCCAATGTCACTCTTCAGCTGGGACTGAGCAGAGTATGGGGAGCTGGTGTGTGCCTGTGTTAATAATGCTCTAGGACCCTCCCCCCACTGGTCTGAGGGCCTTGTGCCCTCACCGACATCATGGTCAGCAAACAGCCCCTCCCAGAACTTTCTGCTCAGGAGCTGTCGAGTTCAGTCTCTCCTCTTTCCTATTGATTTTTAACCAAAAGCCAAATCTGAAATCCATCTGTGTGAAATTTCATGATTGGCTTGAATCCAACCGGCCAGCCTGGATCAATCATTTGCAATCTTAACTCTTTCATCCCTCATATTCTATGTGGTCCACCTCTCCAGGGATCACAGGACCAATCAAGCAGCCTCCTGTAACTCTAACTTGGCAAAAGGTAATTGTGGGGCGCGCACACACACACACACACACACACACACACACACACACACACACAAACTGATGTCCTTCCTTCCTTCCTTCCTTGACACAGTTGTAGCTTAGCTGTCCTGGAACTGGAACTGGACTAGTGGATGAGGCTGGCCTTGAACACACAGAGCTCTGCCTCCTGAGTGCTGGGATTAAAGGTATGCACCACCACAGCTGACTGCAGTCAGTACTGTTTACATTCAATAGTCCAACCCATCGTTGCACTGTTGCTCTGTCCTCCTTTCTCCACAGTATTGCGGAGTGTCAAGTACGCAGGAAGACATCCATGTGGGAAAAGTATGCTTAAAAAATAAACTGAAAAACAAAGAAGGCAGCTAGGTGGTGGTGGTGGTGGTGGCACACGCCTTTAATCCCAGCACTAGGGAGGCAGAGGCAAGAAGATCTCTCTAAGTTTCAGGCCAGCCTGGTCTACAGAGTAATTTCCAGGACAGCCAGGGCTACATAGAGAAACCCTGTCTAGGCGGGGAAAATGGCCATTGCTTTTGTTCTTTTTTAATTGCTGATGTCCTCTTGCCTAGAACCAGTTGTAGAATTCTTCCACATGACCCCTTCCTTCTGTTTTGAGTTTTTCCTCCTCTTCTTTCTCCTTTTTTCAACTATTCTTTTTTGCTTATTTGTTTTTTTTGAGACAGGGTTTCTCTGTGTAACCAGGCTGTCCTGGACTCACAGAGACGGGCCTGCCTCTGCCTCCTTGAGTGCTTGGATCACAGGCATGTGCCATTGCACCCCGTTTGGGTAACTATTCTGAAAACTCTCTTTTTCTGCTTTTCTTTTTTCAGCACTGATTTCATACGTAGGGGCGTTTTGCCTGAGTGTGTGGCTCTGCGCCATGTGTGCCTGGTGCCTGTGGAGGCCTGAAGAAGGTGTTAAGGACACCGTGATAACTGCAGTTACACACAGCAGGTTGTGAGCCACCTTGTGGGAGCCGAGAAACAAACTTAGGTCCTCTGGAAGAGGAGCCAGTGCTCTTTTTGTTCATTCATTTGTTTGTTCATTTGTTCGTTTTATTTTGTTTTGTTTTTTCCAAGACAGGGTTCCTCTGTGTAACAGCCATGGCTGTCCTGGAACTTGCTCTGTAGACCAGGCTGGCCTGGAACTTAAGAGATCTGACTGCCTCTGCCTCCCAAGCTTTGGGACTAAAGTATGTGCAACCACTGCCCAGCTTTGGTGGTTCTACTTGGATGCTGGATTAACCAGCATTGAATGCATTTTAATCTAATGAAGTTTGTATCTGACAATATGCTTATCTGGCAGTAGCCCTACTGAAAACCTAGGAGCACCTGCAGGTCTCTGAGGATCCCGGGATCAAGGCATGTTAGCAAGCATGGGTGCTGTATGTCTTTGAGTCCTACCTTGCCCTGACTATCCCGTAATGCCCTGCACCAGGTAGAGGGTTTTATCAATCCAGTTCTTCCTGGGCGTCTGGGAGTTAGACCACTCTTTGACCCTTCCTATCTGGGCGGGAATGCTTTCTCCCCACTCTGGCTGCAGCCCTGAACGTCAACAGTTGTCAGTCCTCATCTGCTGCTTTGAGGATGGCCTCTCTTTCGGCCTTAGTGAAGCCCCACACTCCCAGCATGATGCGGTCACGAACATGCCACCGCATTCCATCTTGGCCAAAGGCTGAGACACAATGAACGAATACATTGTAATAGAAAAATATAAGCTGGGCAGTGGTGGCACATACCTTTAACCTCCGTACTCCGGAGAGGCAGAGGCAGGAGGATCTTTGAGTTCAAGGCCAGCCTGGTCTACAGAGTGAGTTCCAGGATAGCCAGGGCTACACAGAGAAACCCTGTCTCAAAAAACCAAAAAAAGAAAAGAAAAAAAATGTCCAAGAGTTAGTTGACTCTACTGCAGACTGGAACCCAGGATCCATCTTCTGACAAGCAGCTAGGGATTCAGCCTAGAGGGTGGCCACACCCTTCAGTAACTCAAGGGACGCTTCACTTTAGGAAAAACTCCTACAGATACGGAAATGAGAAAAATACACCAGCTCCTGCACACAGAGCCAGCATGCTCATGGGCCAGGTGCTGGGTGTCGAGGGGCAGCAGCTCCGGCTCTCACACAGTTCGGGGAACCTTCACTCCTCAGTCAGAGCGCACAGGAGGAGATCTATCTATGGGCACACAAAGCTCCTGCTCTCAGGAGACCATGGAAGTGATTGGGGCTAACTTCTGGTCTGGCAGACCCAGGGTGGCAGTGGAAGGGGGTGGGGGTGCCAAGAAAAGAAATGCCCACTGTCCACCTGGTCAGCTCAGGGAGGGACCCATGTGGCTGTCAGACCTGGTCCTGGTATGGTAGGAGGGTGTGGGGCCGCTAAGCGGACCCCCATCACCACACTAGGGACTGACACTCCATGCTTGGCCACAAAACGGACAGTATTCACCGTGGGAGGCAGGTTTGTTCATTCAAGTGTTAGCTTGCTCGGACTTGGGGAGGGGGGAGGCTAGTTTTGTGCCTGTTGTGTGCCCCCCTCCCCACCCGCCCCCTTGTAAGCTGAGTTGAAACCGTGTGGCCTTGTGCATGGGACACTCACCAGCAGATGAGTCCAGCGACCACCGCCGTCCAGGTGACGCAGAAGGAGTTGGGCTGCTTGCTCTGCGCCGAGTGGTCCCGCCGGCAGCAGCATGCGCACACCAGGTAAACGGCGAGGAAGATGAGGTTCAGGCCCAGGCCAATGGCAGCCAGCACCCCCAGGAAGAGCAGCGACTGTAAGAGGGGCGGGCTGTGTGTCAGCTTCTGGCTCAGCAGGAGAGCAGGGAGTCCTAGGAGCTGTACAGTATCCTTATGCCCGGCCCTCTAAACGGCCTGCCCTACATTTGTGGGTGCCAGGGTGGGGACGGTGGAGAAATGGACAAGCTAGGCAATGGAAGGCTTGGTGATGAGGAGGGGTAGAGGTGGTGGAGGGGGACAGCTGTTGTGAAGATTCCCATTATCAAAGCTCATTAGGACCTAGAATCTGCTGGGAGACAAATGTGTGTGTGTGAATGTGTGTGTGTGGTGTGTTTCTATATTAGTTTTATAGAGTTGGAAAGATCCACTGGAAATATGGGAGGGACTGTCCGATGGGCTGGGGTTCCAGCCTGAATACAAAAGGGAAGCCCTTAGTAACTAACACTCCGTTCTCTCTTCGCTTCCTGACGGTGGGTGTGATGCGACCAGCGGCTTCACATGCACGCCGCCAGGAAGGATGTCCCGTCAAACCATAAGCTGAAATAAACCCTTCCTTATTTAAGCTTCTTTCGTCAGGAATTTTGTCATAGCAATGACGAAAATCACTAACACAGCTAAGCACGGCTAAGCCCAGGTTTCCGGATGAAGATGTAGTCCAGGCCAGGCCTGATGATGAGCCCTGAGCCACTCGGGAGAACAAGAAAGAACAGCCAGCTGCAAACAGGGCTGTGGACGACTAGTGCTATGGCCATAAGGATGGGAAAGAGGCAGAGTCTAGGCAGGACACACCTCAGGTACCAAGCGATACTAAGCTAGGGCCAGGAAGGATGACAGGTGCTACCATACCTAGGCCCCACCTTGCCAGACCAGTCTTGCTATACCAAATGGAAGGTGCCTATTCCAGGTGCTGGGGCTACCCAGAATCCTTAGAAGGCAGCTCTGTGCAAGAGGGTGGATAGAAAGGTGCCAGAATAGATAATTCTTGGTGTCCTTCTTGCTGTATCCTGTCAGGGACAGCTGACCCCCATGCCAGTGGTAGCAGGAAGGCTGAAATGTTGAGGGGATGTGCGGGGCTCTTTGAGCCCGCCTAGTAGGCCAGGGTTTTCAAAATAAGCCGTTTTGTCTGTCAGGAGGCCTAGGTGTCCCCCTCCACAGCATCTTCCAATCCCTTTATTTGGCCAGATGGACACCAGATGGCCCCAGGATCAGTGGCCGACAGCCAGGGCTGGACCTGGCTCTAAGTCAGGCTCCTGAGCTGACAGCCTCCTGGCTTCCCATGTGGCCTCAGCAATGCCCTCATCCAGAGTCCCCAGTGTCCCAGTTGGGGGTGGCTCTCCCTAGAGCTTTTGTCAGGGAGGCTGTGTGTGTGGGGTAGCAGTCATCAGGGCAGAAGGCTGCAGGACACCAAGCGTGGGGAGGTGACCTGCAGTGCAAAAGGCTGGTGGCTGCAGACTAGGTAAACTGCCTGATCCCCTGTGAGGATGCAGGCAGCCCATAGGAGCCCTGACTTGGGCTGTCCTGATGCTAAGCCTGGGGAGGACAAGTGAGAAGTCTCATTTCACTCAGCATGTGGCCACCACTTCCACCTGGGCAACACTTAAGAGTGGGAAGGAACTCATCCTCCCTCCTCCAGGGAGGTGGAAATAGGGCAGCAGCTCAGTGCACAGCATCTTCCACAGTCTTTGCGCTAAGGCATGGGGCCTGGACCACCCGGTAGCATACCTGCCCCTTAGAATGGCCTCGAGAAGCTCCTGTCCCATGAGAAGTCACTGCCCACCTTCCTGGAAGGCAGAGGAGGGAAGGAGGGCTGTAGAGACTCTCTACACAAAGTCACCATACCGCACGCTGGCCTCTGATGCCTCTGTGGAGCCCACGCTGGGCCAAGCCTGTCACAGTGAGGGCTGGCAGGAACTGAGGACAGTGGCACAGCAGGCAGAGTGCTTGCCTGGCAAGCTGGAAGGCCGGGTCTCCACCCCGAACACTGCATAACTGGGCATGGTGGTGCACACCTGTAATCTCCCCTAGAGGGGACACCCAGGCCTCCCAACGGATGATAGCTTCCTTTGCAAACCCTGAGCTCTTCCTGCTGCCCGCTGATGCAGATGCAGAACTCTCCAGCACCTTGTTTGCCTGCATGCCGCCATGCTTCTGGCCACAGTGATAATGGACTAAACCTCTGAACTTTAAGCCAGCCCCAACTGAATGTTTTCCTTTATAAGAGCTGAAATGGTCATGGTGTCTCTTCACAGCAATAGAAAATCCAACTAGGCTAAATGACAGCAATAAAATCCCAAAGAACCGGACACCCTGTGCCAACTGTCACTCACTCAAGTGTTTTCAGGTGTAGGAGCAACAGATTAATGCCAACAGAAATTAACTTTTTTCCCCCAGTAGCTTCTCTTTTCCTTTAAACTGACTCTTCGGGGTCCAACACACAGAGCCTTGTGGGTACAAATGCCACTGTTGGCTTTTTAAATTTAACTTTTTTTTTTGGGGGGGGGGGTCTCCACAGTGCCCTTGAGCTCACTCTGCAGCCCAGGTTCTCCTTGCACTCTTGGTATTTCTCTCCTGTAAGTGCTGGATGGTAGGTGTGTCCCACCACAGCCAGCTCTAGAAATGACGCTCTGTGGCCGGGCGTGGAAGCACACATCTGTGCCCGTAATCCTAGCAGTCAAGAAGCTCAGGCCAGCCTGGACCTCAGAATGAGATCCTGTTTCCAAAACCTAAAAATAAGCCCCACGCTTTTCTCATAGCCCCTGGAATCCCACTGCTAAGAAGCGGCTATCTTCCCCCAGCCCCCCTGACAATTTGTAAGCCACCGGGCTTCCGTATACACTGTGACCTAGCCGTTCTACTTCAAGGAAAGGAGGGTGTGTGTGGAAACCCCCACCCCCAAGAGCCACATACAAAAAAAAAAAAAAAAAAAAAAAAAAAAAAAGTTCTCAGTCTAGCAGCAGTCACCAAACACTGGAGACAGCACATGGCGTGTGCGGTAGTCATACAGTGGAACACTACATGCGTGGGCAGCAGCACATACGTAAAATGTGTATGTCTAACATGAAGGGCGGGGCAACAGAGTAGCAGTGACAGGTTGAATTTATGTGCGGTGCAGTCAGAGATGATCACCTGGGGCAGGCAGTGGAGATGGAGGCAGATGCAGCGGTGCCCCAGGTGGCCAAGGGCACACGTGACAAGGGTCATGTTAGTGCTGGGCATGCACCACCACACCTGGCCCCAGGACGATGCGCTACGTACATGCTGAGGGCTGTGGAGATGGGTTGGTGGTAAGAATCCTCGCTGCCAATCAGGAGGACTTGAGTTTGGACCCCAGCTCCTACGTAAAAGGCTGTGAACGGTGACACACAGCCATCCTGGTAGCCCCAGAACTATGGAGGGAAGTCAGGAAGGAGGTTTGCTGGTCCCCAGCCTACATCCAAGCACAGCGAGGAACCCTGTATGAGGGGGACAACCCTGGGTCTCAGTCCTCTCCAGGCCAGACAGTTAGGCTCATTAGGTCACTGATAACACAAGCCAGTGCAAGAAGGCCCTGAGTAGGAAGGCCATGGCTCTAGTGTGGGGGTCAGAGGACAACTTTAGGGTATCAATGTGGGTCCCGGGTAGGGTATTGAATTCAGGTCATCAGGCTTGGTGGCAAGTGCCTTTATCCTCCAAGCCATTTCACCAGCCCCTGAATGTATTTTCAACAATGACTTGTGCTGTCAGGCTAATAACAATACCCCAGCTACCTTCACTCCCAGGAGGGTCTCCTCTGTGTTCACTCTAAGCAGAAGGAACCATTGACTCTACCAGGTGTCCCCACCCAGGAGGGAAATGATGATTGTCTTTCCAGTCTCTACAAATCTGCTCCGTAGCTGGATTCCAGATATCTGATTCCTAGAAATTGTGAGCCTAGATTTTCTGTGACCCCCCTGAAATCCTGCAGCTTAGGTCTCCTAGACAACCCTGGGTCTTGGCCCTCTCCAGGCCAAGCAGTTAGTCTCAATCAGGTCACTGATAACACAGGCCAGTGCAAGAAGACCCTGAGTAGGAAGGCCACATGTAGGTGGGGCGGTGGCTTGTTAGCTGCTGACTCCAAGAACCTGGGGCAACTAAAGGTTTAGAGCTGGAAGTTGGGTTGTCAGTGGGTCAAGAGCCAAGGGAACAGAAAGGGGAAGGAAGGTATGAAGAAAAGAGAGGCGGCTGGGGGAGACAGAGGGAACTCTAGCCAACTTGTGTCACCTGCTCCTCTAACAGGCCATTATGTCTCTGCTTCTAACTAGTGCACCGATGGGATAAGATGGGATGGGAAGGGATGGGAGGAAGAATCAAAGAGGGGAGGATAATTCTGCTTTCACCCTCCAGCAACAGCCAGAGCTTAGAAAGGCTTGTCTCCACATCACACGGTGCCTCCTTCTGCCCCACTCCCACTATTGCCTGTCCCAGCACCATGCCCAGACTCAGTCTCTCTGTCATCAAAGCTCCCTCGATTATTTCTGGTTTATCATTTGTAGTTAGCACCATCCTGGTACTCAGGCTAGGGGGACAGCAGCGGCCACAAGGGAGTACGGATGACAACTTCAGTGGTGTGCCAGCCCTCTTGTGGAGGCAGGTGGCCTCTCCTCATGCTCTATAGGGAGAGCACCACTTCGAAGCCTGGGAAGGGTTAACCCGTTGGGGAACTGGCGTGACTGCCTGATGATCATGACTCCAAGTTCAGATGGAATGAACGAGCTTCCTCATCCTAACCTTGGCTCTTCTCCCAAGGGGCAGGGCTCTAAAGCCTGCTTTTTCCTCCTCAGATCTGCCTCCAGCTGAGCCAGGGCATCCTGTTGTTCACCCTGAATTCCATACTCTGTCCTCAATGCACTCAGTTGGGGCAAAAAGACAGAGTCTAGCCCAGGCTGGCCTCCAACTCTTTATGAAGCCGAGTGACTTCTTGTTTGTGTTTATTTTATTTATTGTTATTGTTTTTCTTTTTTAGACACAGTTTCTCTACAGCCCTGGCTGTCCTGGAATTCACTATGTAGATTAGGCTGGTCTAGAACTCACAAAGATCCACTGGCCTCTGCCTCCCAAGTGCTAGGATTCCATAAGACTGCCACCACAGCCAGTCTTATGGGGTGCTGGGGATGGAACTCAGGGTTTAATGCAGGCTAGGCAAGCACTCGCAGCCGAGCTACACACACAACCTCTCACTGTGTGAACTGAGACTCGGGAAAATCCAAGCCAAACCACGACAATGAACACCTCCCATGCCTTCTAACACACAGCCTGCAGAAGGCCTGGATGGGTGTGCTGTCCTCAGTGCCAACAGGAAGTACTATGGACATGACGTCATCAGGGTCTGGCCTCCCCTAAGTGGAAGACGAGGGTGACAACACCAGATGGGGAGGGAATTCTGTGACTTTCTAACTGTCCCTAGCACTGTCCACTGAGCATCTAGCCAGCTGGGGTCTCCTTCTTAAGCAGGGACTATGCCACTGGGCACCAGCTTCCCACCGGGAACTCTTGGGCCTTTTTGCTAGTTCTTGAATCAGGCATCATCTCCAGCTTCCAGGCGTGCTCTCCTGTCAAACGGGATGAGATCTGGGGTGGGGATCTAGGCTGCTCTCTGATACTCACACAGAGCCGGCAGAATTCCTAGGCCACTGCCCTGCTTGCCTTTGCTGGGCCCAATGCCACTTCCCGCAAATGGCTGGGGATATAGAGTCTTCCTGAGGACTCAGGCTCAAGTTCAATGGGGAGAGGATGGGGAGAACCAACTATCAGGAAACTAGAAACTTCCACTGTGCCCGCAGACCCCAGGCAGAAGCCAGACACACAGCAGCAATTCTAGATTTTAGGGCTCAAAGGAGGATAGATTACCAGTTGGAAACTAGCCTCAACTCCACGGGGAGACCTTGCCTCAAAAATAAATAAGTAAACAAATAAGACAGAGAGGAGGGGTGAATGGGGATGTAGCTCAGTTGGTAGAGTGCTTGTCCACCAGAAAACCCCAGGTTCCATTCCCTGGCACCCCATAAACAGGGAATGGGGGACACACACCTGTAAACATAGCACTCAGGAAGTTCTAGACCACCACATGGGGTTACCAGGCTGCCAGCTTCTCAGCATCTGCTCTTCTAAGCCTTGCTGTGCTTTTTAGGTCCCAAGCACACGGCAGTCATTCCTGGAGCTTAGCTGCCGATTTCCAGCCCACCTACACGTGTGTACGTGTATGAGTGTGTATGCACTCACACACACAAGCACAGGCTGACCCTTAAAGCCTACATTATTTGTGACTTTCACTGGCACTTTTTTCTCAGTCTCCCCTGCTCAGGCTCTTGAGCTCTCTCCCTCTCTATTTTACAGGGCACCGCCCTTAGGCACCCGTCACCTCAAGGCCATTTGTCTAATGATTGCACCATTGGGTCCTGTTATGTCCTATGTAAATGCCTATTCTGCGAACACTCAGTAGAATAACTCACGGAGTGCCTGCCGATGAGGGGAAGAAGTCCCATCTGCCTGTGGTCACACAGCCATAGAATGAGAATCTGCCTCAGCCAGTGGATTGGCAATCCCCTGCCTCAAACTACGCTGGCTTCAGAGCTGCCTCCGCCACTGCTATCCTGGTTATCATGTCACCCAGGCCCTAGCACAACACTCAGCCTCAAATTCAGTTTCCTGAGGACCAAGCTGACTTAGGACAGGAGGCACCCAGGCTACATGTGAATCAACTGAACTGGCTGCCCAACTCCAGCGCTCAGTAGAAAAGAGACCCATGGTCAGACAACAAGGGAACTTGACAAAACAGGAGCGGCCTTAAATAACACCCCATGCCAGACTTCCACCACATTCACCTCCCAGAGCTTCCACGCGTAGCTGAACCAGGATGCAAGCAGGGACGGGGTAGGTACAGTGGTCATGGGAAAGAGACAGAACAAAGGGTTCGGGGGTCAGGACCCTAAAGGCAGGGACTGTGAGTGGGACTCTCCAGCACCACACAGCTGCCATCTATCCATAGACTGGGGTGGGTGGAGTCAGGCTCAGGCTGTGGGAATGAGAGGCTGCCCCCATCCCATCCCTCTGCCAGCCAGGTCTCCTTGACCCAGCTGAGGGGCTAGTTTTGTTTTTCCAGAAGAGGGGAGACAATATGATTGGAACCCAGAGCACAGGATCCGAGATCTCTGCACACCCCCAGCACAGCTGTTGGGAAACCATATCGTCCCTTTTCAAGCACTTGCTGAAGGAAGACTCCCTGGAGCTGGCCGGTAGCCACCGGTCCTCAGGGAACAAGCCTTCCTTCCAGGGCCAGACAAGACCGGGGTGGGGGTGCAGTCCAGAGAAGTTAGTGCTATAGTGCCTGGGAGTGACAATGACCCCCGCCAGCAGCACCAAGGGGTCCTATTGCCCCCGAAGAACAGGGAGTGACTGCCCAAGCCTGCAAACAGCAGGGCCACTGCAAGTTATAATTAGACTCCGTGGCACTGGCTCTTGGGCAGTGCACAGCGCAGGGATCAGGAGCCCCTGGTCTCAGAATGAGGACAGGTGGAGAAGACAAGAGGCCACTCGTGGGCAGTCTAGAAAAACCCTGCTCAGCGCACCACTACAGAGATAAGGACTGGTGCCTTGCCACTGCAGGAAAAGGTCAAAGTCCGATATGGGCACAGAACTCTGAACTAACACTAATGGGCCTCTTCCTAGGTTGCCCCAGCTCCTGAATCTTTGACCTGGCAGAGGGGACTGACTAAGCCAGGGCGGCAGAGGCCGTGCTGGGTGACCGAGGCTGAGATGGGCTGAGGGACTGTGTGTAGCTGGGTCAGGAAGGGAGGTCAGAAGCCTGGACATGACCACCAAACCCGCAAGGGAAAGGCCCAGGGACAATTCAGAAGTATAAGAATGAGGAGGGTAGACGGCCCGGGAACCAAGACCTCCGGATTCCAGGACCTAGAAGGTGTAGGGACGCCAGGACAGTTGCAGGACATGGTACAAGAGGGGGTTGATCTGAAACCACCTTCCTCCCTTCCCTGACTCAAACAGCTGTGGATTTTGGCGTCCAAGAGGTTAGTCACCCACGCCACTTATTTCAGCCCCGCAGCCTTTGAGACGGTGCCAAGGCAGAGGTACTGGCAGCGGCTCCCGGCTCCTACCCTACCGGCTGGGGCTGGGAAATGGAGCGCTGAGGACTCCGGAGATTCAAGTCAGTTCCTGCCTAAACTTCTCTCAGGCCATCAGGACCGAAAGAGAAAACGTCTGGTGCTGGAGTCAGTCTTAGGAGGGGAACTTCGGAGCACCCCCGCACACCCACGTACCGTCAGTCACCCCTACTAAGATGCCCCACCCCCACCGTAAGTCTCCGGACGGACGGCTCACCCCCCCACCCCCTCCGCGCAGCCTCCGCGTCCTTTCTCTCCCTCCCCAGCGTTCTCCACTACAACCTCTCCAGCTTTACGAACCCAAAGGTTCCCAGCTAGGACGAGCGTCCCGGTGAAGGGACCCCGGAGAGAACCGAGGGGGTCTGAGAGACGCGGAGAGCGCGGGCTGGGAGGCAAGAGAGGACGGAGTGGGAACTTGGGCGCGCGGGGGCCAGCTCTGGCTCCTACTCTGAGGGTCCCTCTCGGTGGCTCGGGATCTGCGACGCACGGGCTTACCTCCTGGTATGTCTCGTCGCCGGGGCTAAAGGTGCTGTCCACCCGCTGCAGGCGCAGGCCGAGGTGCGGGACGCTGTGCAGCCATACGACCCACCAGGGCGCGATGTACTCCACGCGCGCCGCCGGCATGGCTTGGGCAAACTGCAGCGGCTCCACTGCAACTGCCAGCGTCGCTAACACCCGCTCAGGACTCGATCGGTCCCGCCCCACCCAGGCCCCGCCCCATGTCCTGCCCTACACAAGGACTCGCCCCGCCCTGCACGAGGCTTTGGCCAGGCCCCGCCCCACTTCTCCTGAACACAGACATCAGCTCTATGAATAAGGCTCCAAGACATACACTGATCCGACGAAAAAAGTAGAAGGTGTGAAGTGAATTCAGTCTCTAAGCTCCTAGCTCCTTGCTATCATATCAAAAGAGTGGCCTAGGCTGGATGGTGTGTTTTAGGATAGGAAGGCATAAGGATTAGGAGTTCAAAGGTCAGCTTCAAGCCAGTAGCGAGGTGGAGGCCAGCCTGGGCTATGTGAGACGGGATCTTAGACAAACAAATAGATAAAGGAAAAAATGACCATAAAGTGCCAGTCGATACATACATAATTAGTAACCTTGGCCTAGGAGGCTGGGCTAGTCGTTAAATATTCTTTTATTTCTTTATTGTTATTTTCCAGACTAGGTCTCACTATGTAGTGCTGGCTGTCCTGGAACTTGTTATATAGACCAGGCTGGCCTTGAATTTACAGTGATTCCCCGCCTCTGCCTTCTAGTACTGGGATTAAAGGCATTCACCACCACACCTGGTTTATTTGTTTATTGCAGTGTTGGGATTAGAACCCAGGGTCTTGAGCATGCTAGACAAGGCTTCTACCACTGAGCCCTTTGAAGACAGATCCTGATGCACGTCTTTAATCCCAACACTCAAGAGGCAGAGGCAGGCAGAATCTGAGGCTAGCTTGGTCTACAGAGTGAGTTCCAGGATGGCCAGAGCTACACAGAAAAACCTTGTCTTGAAAAACCAAAGAGGGGAGGGAGAAATAAAGTTTAAGTTGCTCATACTGGCCTTGAACCCGGGATCACCCGGTCTTAGCCTTCTGAGAGCTGGAATCATAAGTTTTCGGCACCACCCATGACAAGATTCACTCTGAATCAGTTCTGTATGGACCACGTGCACTCAGAGAAGATGTACTGAGCCAGGAACTACCAGCCACTGTCCAGTCTACCCCAACAGGTATCCTTTCAGGGCAAGGCATCCAAGTGAGGCCAAGTGTTTGGGGGACTAATTGCTTAATTCCTTTAGGGCAGGAAGGACAGGGCTGAGGAGGGCTTTTGAGCTCCTAGAGGGGAGGGGTGGGCAGGGAGAACGCAGGAAGGGAGAGCCACCGAAGGGCCACAGCAGGAAAGCCCCAGGACCTTGCTGACATGCGCCTTGAGTGTGGTTGGCAGCAGCACACACTGTGAAGGCAACACGTTAGGTTAGTTATCGAGTATTTGGGGGGGGGGGTGTCACATCAGCAGAGTCCAGCCTATCACTTCTCTTGCCTTTTGGTTAGAATCGAGTGCAGAGCTCCCAGCCCAAGCGCTGGTATGGCTAGTGTAAGGAACTTAGGAAGGAGGCAGTTAAAGGTCAGTGACTCCTGGCAGGTGGCTTGGTTAGGAGCAGTGCTGGGCAGCCAGTGGAGGACACTTGGTGCTGCTGGCAGAGGTAAGAAAGGAGACCCCAGAGGGGGAAGAATCCGCTGAGTGATGGTGGTGGCCCGAAAAGGCAAGCAAGTTTTGCTGGGCATGAGAACAGGTGCTCTTGCTGTATCAAAGAACCCTGTTAGAAGTAAGTCCTGCCTTGCCCTGCTGGCCACTGGGGCCTTTCCTCACAATCAGCTTCATTCTGTAGTTGCTAGAGCTTGGCTGCTACCATATTTGAACTTGACAGACAAGAGTCATGGGGACATCCCTCACCCACCCCTAGGGATGTCTCATTAGTTCGGCACACTGTCTAGGAATCCTCCCTAAGGCACCTAGTGATGATGAAGACCCAAGTTTCCTGTCTTTACAGTGTTTAGCAGGGGAAGGGAGGCTTTAAACTTTGGTGATTATGAACATGACCATTGCTTCAGTCTTGTACTGGCACGAGAAGGGAGGGTAGTTTAGGGATGTGTGCACAGGACACAGTGATGTTGATGTATCCAGAAGATTCTGAGTGACAGATGGGAATCTTGTGGGAATCAGGGACTAGCAGGCAGCGCAGAGCAGAAGGGGAATCCAGTCAGGAAAAATGCAAGAGCTGCTGGGGCTGCTTCCCAGGGGCCAGGGTGGGAGAGCGGCTTTGGAGTTGACAGAAAGGTTCTGTGGATTCGAGCAGCCATTACACAGCTGAGATTTGTAGACCTATACCTAGAAGGGTCTTTTCTATTAAGCCAGGGTCTTGCTACATAGTCCTGGTTTCCTGGAGCTATGTAGCCCAGGCTGGCCTTGAGCCAGGTGCTTCGATCACAAATGTATTCCATTATATGGAAATTATACAGAGGAAAACAGCTGGTGAAGTGACCTATGCCCGTATTTGCAGCCCTCAGGGAGTAGAGGCAGAGGATCACAAGCTTAAGGCAGCCCGGGTAGTGAGGGCCTCAGATCTCTGTGAGCTCAAGGTCAGCCTCGTCTACCCTGTCTCAAACAAATAAAAAGCACAATTGGAAGGAGAGAAAAGGGAATGGAGGGTGAGAGGGAAGAAGTGAGGCCGGTTGTAGTGAGGGACAGATTTATGTGTGCCCCCGCCCCACACCAATTGGCTGTGAAGCAGGAAATGTGAAGCATCTCCCGTGGGGGCCCTTTGCAACCTCGGTAACAGCCAAGAGGTGCCACCCAGCGTCCTGCCCACCTGCCCTCTGTGGCCCCCGGCTGCTGCTGCTCACTTTTATACTGAGAGATCTACTCTGCAACAGCCAAGGTCGGAGCTCTCAGGGACATGGCACGGACACCTGTGTGCACCCGAAGGCGAGCTCAGTACAAGGGCGTCCTAGCTGCTCCTGGTGTACGGACCCACAAAGCCACGCAGGGGCCCACAGCTGGACCTCAGCAGTGGTGAGTCCTGCCACCTGAGGGCACAGACATTATTCAGTCTCTGGGCCAGCCTGGGACCGCAGAAGCACCGTAAGTGACTCAGGCTTGCCAGTGTAGGAGGCACTGCATGAAAACGAGCCTTCAGTGGACCACAAGGCCAGATAAATCCCATCTGTCTCCTAGGAACTAGGGTGAGCCATTGAGAAATGTGCTGGAGACAAAGGAAGCCAAAGCCGTAAACTTTCTTGGGAATTCTAAACAACTATGGGTGTCTCTTGCCCCACTCTCTCCCAGGATAAACAAAGCCCATGTCTTTCAAAAAGCTCACAGCACACCCAGAATGATGCCTTCCAGCAGATCACTTCTGCTTACAACCTGCCTGTTTAACCATTTAGCATAACCCTCAGCCTGCTGCACTCCATTTAAGAAGCAAATTAAGGACTTCCAATCTTAGCACATTAACTTGGTTTGGCACACCTGCAGGCTGGCACTCAGGAGGCAGGATGGGATTTAAAGCCAAGCTGGGATCCACGTGATGGCTCAAAAACCACACCCATCCCCAACTTTGGGGCCTACTTATTGTAGTGGAGTGCCACCTGGTGGAGGGCAGTGTGGCTCACAGCCAATTTGCAAGACTGAAAGCTGTTGGCATTCAAGCCCAGAACAGTTTAAACTATCAATGCTTGCTTTGCCTTCTTTTAAATCCCTAGAGATTGTCTAAAAATTGTGTTGTTTTGCTTGCGTGCATGTAGTGCACCGTGTACAACGCATGCCTGGAGGCAGAGATCCCCACCTCTGCCTGCTCCCGGGCAGTCCATGCTAAGCTCTTCTTTGTTCTTCAGACCCCACATACCATCCCTTCTCCATTCATCTCGTGGGGCCCCATGCTCTCCTGACTTCACATTCCAAATCTCCCAAGTAAGGGACACTTCTTTCTCTTGCACCAGGGGATATTCCACGGGCAGCAGCCTGCAGCTACTTGCCAGAAGCTCAACCCCTCCGCTCCTCTCATCAGAAGGCAACCCACCCCACAGACCACTTCCAAACCACGGGAGTGTATACAGGTTTCCCACCACGAAGAGCAGCCTTTCCCAATGTTTTCCCAAGCACAGGGTAAAAGGCAATTCTTTCATCCATTGAGATCCCAGTTCAAGATCTGGGGTGCAGAAGGTAGCACCAGAATCTACAGCTCATCTCCACAGCACACCTCCCATCTAAAGACTTGAGCACACACAAAGACTTTCCAGAAGTTTTAATAGTTAAATGCAGAGGACTGGTTCATTTCAGCTCCTTCACTGCCAAACCTGGAGAAAGAGAGAGAGATGGTTGACATAAATTCACCTCAGAGATACCCCACTGCATTTCATGGGCTCCTCCTTCCACAAACTCAGGATTATCATGGAGTAGGGTCTTACGAGGATTAAATGAACTATAACCTGCTTGGGGCCAAGGAAGCTATTTCTGGGATCAGACAGAACCTGAGAATCACAACCATGCCTTGGCACCATCCACAGCAAAGACAAACACCTCCACCACAAAGCGGCTCTCCCAATCCTGGGGGTAACCCGACCCCCACCACTATCTCAGGCTTACTTACCAGGGGGTAGGGACTGCTTCAGCTTCTCTGCCTTCTCCTTGTCTGTGATGACCAGGGTGTAAAGGTACCTGCTGCAGCGAACCTTGAACTTCACATTATCCTTGTTCTTCTTGATCTTCACAGCTGCCAAGGAGACCAGAATTAGAATGAAGCTCCCAGAGAACTGGTGCAGAACCACACAGGTCATGGGCCTTACACTCTTGCAACTGGCCAGAAACGAATGGGTGCAACTGTCACGTCACCACCAGAGCGGAGGAAGCTCCCACCTCCTCATACTTCCCCTGCTCTCAAATGCTCAACATGCTGGAAAGCTACATTTTATTACACTTCATGGGTCTCGGGCTTACCCAATCCATTTGCATATGCACATAAAATCCATACTTGGCACACTAAACACAGCACCACAGAACATTCTAGAACGACCCATGACAATCTTTTAAGGGACAGTCTGTAAAGTAAGGAAACGAGTTATCTGCTGGGATTAAGAACATTCCACTTCTGGAAACCCACTCTGCACAAAAGGACACCAGACTTGCAGTTTCAGGATGCTCTACTCCAGTGCGCAGGGAAGCTCCCTCTAAATTTTTGTGGAACTTGGGTCTTAAAAAAAAAAAATTGTAATTATGTGGAAATATGTGTGGGCATGTGACTGCAGGTGCCTGAGTCCAGAAGAGGACATCACTGCTACAGACAGTTTTGAGATCCTAAGGATGCTGGGAACCAAACTCTGCAAGCATCAAGAGCCCATAACTCTCAAGACAACAGTCTCCTGGTTCTTACTGCATTAATTTTATCTTGTGACTCCAGCTCAGGTAGGTGCCAGGTGCACCTCCAATCAACTGGACTGGATCTGGTTCTGTTCCAGTGTGGACACATTTCACCCACAGCAGAGCTATACAGCAGCTGGACAGTCAGCTACGTCCTACTGAATGAGCCAGCACTCTGAGTACTTGATAAATCCCTTGCTCCAACTTCCTTGCAAACCTTTCAGACACTAACAACTTGCAAGCAGTGAAATGCCTGATTCTTCAAAGACTCAATCCTAACCAGGGACATTCATTTGGCCCCTAACCTCCTGGAAACAGAACATGTACTCTCAACTTCACAGGAAGCCCTAACCCAGAGCCCGCTCAAGGCACTGGCCACTCTGGCTTCTATCTTACCAAGTTCAGATATCTGGACTGTAGCTACCACACTCCTGAAAATTAAGTCAAACCTTATTTCTATTCTCTAGAGATGAGTCAGTTCTTGAGACATGTATCCAGGCAGGCCCTAAATTCACCGTGTGGTTGAGGAGGACTTTTTGCCTCTAACCAAAGCCACTGGAGTTATAGTGGCACTCCACCACACCTAGTTCAGTCAGTGCTGGGAAATGACCTCCGAGCCTCAGGCCTAGGTAGGCGCTCTCATACCCCCAGCATTACTCCAAGGACAGCCAGCCATAGTGTGATGCAGCAGTCCCACTTCTGGATAGGTACCCAAGATGAGGAAATAAATGCAAAATCAGGCATTTATGTGCAAGCAGCCTAATGTCCATCAAGTCAATGTGGTGCCCACACACAGTGGAAATGCTGACCAGGGCATCCTGAAGCATGCCTGTAATACCAGTACTGGGAGACAGAGGCAGTTCAAGGTCAAAAAAGAAAAGCCAATGCAATAGCTGAGTGGACAAAGGTACCGTTTGCCAAACCCAATTCCTGAGATCTTCCACATAGAAGAACCAGCTCCTGCAAACTGCTCTCTAACCTCCACATTAGCACACATATACAGTAAACAAAAATCCAAAACACACACACAAAACAAACAAACAGAAATGGTGGCACAGGTCTGCAATCCTAACACCTGGGAGAAAGAAGAATCACTTAGTTCTAGATCTGAGGTCAGCCTGGGCTTCAAAGTCAGTGCCAGGTCACTCAGGGTCCACAGCCTGTTTCTAAAAAGAAAACCCACCAGAATCAGGTTTGAAAGCATTCCTCCAGCAAATATGCTTGACTCAATTTCTGAACCTGTTAAAGAACTTGATGCATCTGCTAAGATGTCCTTATCAATCTAGAGGTGCAACCTCAAACCTTGTCCCATGCTCATGCATGTTAAATAGGAGGCAAAGACATGTCACCCAGGCCAGAGCTGGGACATAGGAAGGCAGTGCCAAATGTTACAGCCTGGATGGGAAACACAAGCAGACACTGCTGAGCCCACCAGCAGGAGACATCCTTCCCACAGGTGGTCACCAGTCCACACAGCACCAGATCAAAGGCAACTAACTGCTTGTTTGACATGATCCTTGCAGTTGATTCAAAGGCTCTTCCTGTCCAACCTAACAAGACAGCCTATCGTGTTCTACTTCATTATCTGCTTCTTTTAAAAGACACATCTGAGAGGAAAGGGAAGACACACACAGGGCTATCAGACTCCCTTTTTCCTGCTATGCAAGATAACGTCATCCAAGGTCTTTCATTGGGCACATCCTCCCAAACATCCTTTAAATAGGGGACAATTCCCTCCCTGTGTATAAAAGGACAAAACAAAACCAGCAGGAGCTGAAAAAACAACTTTGAACCTGCTTGCTTTATATCTATTTTGAGACAACCTAGCCAAGGAGAACCTTGAATTCCCTCATCCTTTTACTCTGCCTCCCAAATTGGGGATTACCCTCTGTGCACCAGACCCTGCAGGGCAGAAAGGAATGAACTTAGCACCTTCCTGAATGCTGGGCAAACACTTTACCAACCTAGTGACACTCCCCCCCCCCCCCCCCGCCTCTACTTTGGATTTGTGAGGGAGACTCTGGCTATGTAGACCAAGGATGATTTTGGATGCCCAGTCCTCTCACCTCAGCGTCCTCAGATTAAGCAGGCATGGCCTACTGGCTCTACTTGGTTCACCATCACCCTCCTTCACTTGAAAACTGGCAGACTCAGATCGCTGAGTTTGAGGCCAGCCTGGTCTACAAGTAGGTCCAGGACAGCCAAGGCATCACACAGAAAACTTATCTTGAAAAACAAAAACAACCAACTGGAGATGATTACAGGTAGCCAACTTTTTTTCTTTTTTTTTGGAAGACGAGTCTCACTATGCAGCCCTGGCTGGTCCCTAACTCACAGAGATCCTCCTGCCTCTATCACGCAAAGCCTGGTAAGGTACCAAACGATAAAGCGCGCTGACCAGGTGTGTACTTGCTCACAGTGCCTAAGTTGCCGACCTTTGTGTTTGTGACAGGTTGGATCTCCAAGCTCTTAAACTTAAAGATCCCTTGGGAGACCCTGTGGCATTCAGAAACTGCTCTTCAGAGACGCCCAATCCCTCCGTCGGCCCGCCCCGTGGGCTCCTCCCGAGCCTTCTGGAAGCGCCCACTCACATTTGGCATCCTTCCGCCGGGCTGTGAGCAGAAAGTCCTTGATTTCCTCAATTTTCCGAGGCTGCAACACAGGAGGAAGAGGGAATAAGCTCGGGGACACATGCGTCCTGGGGGCGCTAGAGCCCGCCCGGATCCCCGGTCCCGGACTCACCATGGTGACGGGCGCTCGGCGCTGGCGACCGCACCTGTGGGAACAGTCCTCTGAGTTAGCCGGCCGTGATCCTGCCTCCCCACCTCGCCCCGCCGCACCCCCTTCTCCTCCCTCACACGCTCCCCTCAGACCCGTGCTCCTCAAACCCTACACGGCTGCGGATTGCCTCGGATTTTACTCCCTTCCCCTCCTGCCCGAAACACTCACAGCGGTAAGAACCGATGAGAACGGAAAAAGAACGAGGCTTCCGCTTCCGAGCAGTTAAACCCGCCCAACAGAGGAAGTTCAGTACGGTGTCTGCCAAGGGCCAAGAACCCTTCAGGCGTTCATACTTTCCATCTCAGCAGCCCTGCCCTCTTCTGGTTCAGATCAGTAGTGCACCTTTTCAAAGTAAAGGATAGTCGGGCTGCCAACCCTTCCCTCTTCCTCTCCCTACTCCCATCATCCCCTCTCCCGGTCACCCACCTTCTTAAAGAAAACAAAACATTTCCTTTTTTTTACATTTTATTTTATGTGTATTGCGATTGCATGTACAGCTGGGCATCACATGCGGGAACTTTTACAAACAGCTGGAAACTGCCGTGTAGGTGCTGGGAATCCAACCCAGCTGCTCTGGGGGAGCAGCCAGGGCTCTTAGGATTGAGTTCTCTCTCCAGGTCCAGAAGTGATTTTTTTTTTTTTTTAATTTTGTTTTGTTTTTTGAGACAGGGTCAGGTAACCCACCTTCATGCTCATAACAGGCCTGGCAGAAATGAAGCTGTTCTAGAGAGACACTTGTGTGCCTCGCTTTTTCAGGAGGGGCAGGACTTCCGGGTAAGCAGAAGTGCCTCCTTTATTGTATCTTGAGTCCCATAGCCCGAGTCAAGAATTGAGCCTCTCCTGGGGCAGATTCCTCAGTCCAGCTCTCACCGCACACCACTTCTTCAGCCGGGTAAGACAGTGTCAGCTTTGGCAGGCGGCGTTCCCTCCCTCCCAGCTCCCTTCCTCACCAGGAACCAACTTCCTTAGCACCTAGTTAGCCTTGCTTCTCATATAATAATGGCTTGGAGGTTAGGCTCCAGGAAACTTTAGCTATTGATTTTATTTCTAAACTGCTTTTTGTTTCAACCTCTCTACAAATGTCTCCATTTTATTATGTTTGTCTCTCCCCCCCCCCCCAATTTAATAACTCACAACAGAATGTAATTGCCTTGTACTTGTTGAAGGGGGCCCCGGAGGAGGATGAGTGCCTGGCCAGGAGTTTTATTTGAGACCCACTCTCTCTCCTCCCTCCCTCCCTCCCTTTGGATGAGGGAGTGTTGGTGGGGCTCCTGCCTCCCGGTGATACAGGGCAGAAAACCTAATTATACAGGAGTCTTTTTAGAGAACAGAAATGTGTTTCGGCAACCAGAAACCTGTCTGCTGGTAACTGGAGAAGCCCGGTGGGCTTTGGGAGAGCCATCTGGGGGTCGGCTCCTGGTCCTGACCCAGGGCATTTCCATAATTCACTGCCCGACTTTGCTGAGTTTCTACCCCGGGCAGATGCCTTACTGGTCTTTTCTGCCTCCCTACTCCTCAACTGTCCTTTCTACCAAACCAAGGACCTCTTAACCTGCTGGGCTTCCGGTCTGCAGGGATTTCTTTGTGGTCCCCTCAGATATTACAGTATCCTTTCGTCATCTGTTCCATCTTCTACTTGGGCAGACCTTCAGCTCTGATGTCCTTCTCTTGTCACATTTGCTTAGGCCGTGGCAATGGTGGGGGTAAACTCTGGGCTTTTTGTTGGTTTGTTTTGTTTTTAAAGACTGGGTTTCTCTGTGTTGAACTAGCTGTCCTGAACTTCACTATGCAGAGCAGGCTGGCCTTGAGCTCCCACAGATCTCCTGATTATGCCTCCAGAGTGGTTTTTTTTGTTGTTGTTGTTGTTGTTGTTTGTTTTTGTTTTTGTTTTTTTTAGAACAGGATATCTTGTAGCCCAGGCTGGCTTCACTGTGTAGCAGAGGATGGCCTTCCACCACTACTTCCTGAGTGCTGGCATGTCAGATGTGAGCCACCATGCCTGGTGCTAATGGCTGAACCCTGGACTTCTATGTGCTGGGCAAGCAGTCTGCCAACTGAACTGTATCCTTAGTCCCTTGGCAGGGCTAAACTCTTCACGTATTTGTACTGACTTTGTTTGAGGGCAAGGACAGGGTAGAACTTGCTGTAGTTAGCTTTCTTGAATGTGAGGCTCATGTATACAGGAGGTACTTAATGTTGACCTTGGAGGCTTCTCGAGCTGGATGTGACATCTGAAAGCACTCACTTTAGGAAGAGACAGAAAGAGGGAAGGGCACAGGGAATAAGACATAAAAGGAAGGAAGGGTTAAAAGTAGAGATTCAGGTCAGGTAATCCAAGCAGTCCCTAGCACACAGTGGGTGCACAAAATCTGTGTTAGGTGAATGGCTGGTGACTCTGCTTTTTCCTGCCTCACCAATCAGGTGGTGACGTGGGTAAGAGGAGAGGCTGCTTATCTCATTGGCATCCTTCCCAGAGAGACAGATGTTGGTCCACTTGAGTTGTGTGATTTAAGAGAGTGTAGATGCATAACAGCAAACACAAAGGCAAATTTGTTCAAGGACCAAGGTCTTCTCCAGCTCCCCAGGGGGAACGTATTATAAAATACACAGCAGCTACTGATGGGCAAAGTGTGGTGTCCGGAGGGAGGGTTTCTCAGGCTCTGTGGTGGAACCTCAGGTGTCAGGACGTGACTTGAGACTCAGACAAAAAGGGGCTGGAGCCACTCCCTTATGCAAGGCCTGGGCTGTAGCTTCCCTGTGACTTTCAAACTAGTCCATCATGCATGATAGGAGATGCTAAAGGGGGATCCTGCAGGAGAGGAGGGCTCAGACTTGAGAGCTAGCCAGAGTGGGGTCCACTTTGCCAGTCAGGACTGCTGTGTCTGTGAAGCCTGGAGGGTAGACTAGAGAGTCCCAGGCGGGAAGCTGAGGCACCATGGAGAGCCAGAGTACTGTTAGAAGGGCCTGGGAGGGGCTCTCCCTCTCCGGCGGAGCAGTTGGAGGTTGGAGCCGGACGTGAGTCAGTCTAGGGAGTATCTTCTGGTCTTACATCCTTCTTGCTTTCATCTACCTCCTGGCCTCAGAGCTGGCCCTGGCAGGGTCTGCTGAAGGCCAAAGCAGGGACCTACAGAGGCACCCCCTTTTCCCCTCTCCTTCCAGTGGAAACCCCGAAGGCCCATCCATTTGGAGTTTTCTCAATCAGTGTTTAGAGGTACCGGAATGGAGCAGAGACCCAGGACCCCACTCACAGGTAGGCAGGGAGGTAGTGTTGTATACAGTGTAATCTAAAGAAGCTGAAAGGACTGCCTGGCATAAGGGGTCCATGGAATGGCTCCTGATGGGAAGGGCAGAGGGAATGGCTAATCTACAGTTGGGAGAGCATAGGTTCTCGATGAATGTTGGGAAGTTCTGTGTGCTCAGAGCAGAACTGATTCTCCTGATTACCTCTCGTGTGTGTGGGGATGGGGTGGGGTGGGGGGGCAGTAGAGCAGGGGTTGGAAGGTCACCAGCCTTCCTCGCTTCCTCCCCGGCTGTCTGGGCTATGTGTGCAGTGTCCACTTGTGACCACAAGAGGGTGCTGACGCTGAGACTGGAGACTGAATGGCAAAGAGCCTGCCTTCTGGCTGGAAACCCAAATCTCAAGCTTATAAATTGTGGATGCGATTGGTGTAGTATTTCATACCTAGAGGAGTGCTTTCTTTGTTCTGGTCGCACTTAGTCTCCAGGAAGCCCCCAGGAGGCCCATGCCTTTGGCTGCCAGGCATAGCTGGCCTTTAAACCTGCCCTCTGGGAGCTGTCCATAAACCTCCCAGATGCTCAGCACGGGGACAGCCTGGGGTTCTCCATGAATCTGGCTACCTGGAAGAGTGGATGGGGATAGGGAGGGAGAGGAGGACAAGGCAGGAGAGAAAGGCTGCGCTTTTTGGAATCTCAGAGGGGAAGTCTAAGTGGGGTGTTGAGTAGCCCCCCTCCTTTCAGCATCTACAGAGTCTTCAAGACTCGTAGATGGCCATGAGAAGCAGACACGCACAACCAGCTGTTGAGCCAAGTGCCACAAAGCATGACTAGTCAGACAGCAGTGACGCCTCTTGAACTCAGCACTATATATGTATTCAAGAACATTCCATCCTGGACCACCCCTCCCTCCTTTTGCTCCTGAGGCTGGACTCCAGAGCCTGTGCTAGGCAGACATTCTCCCGATGAGCTATATTAGTGACACTCCCACGGCCATGTTATTTATTTCTGAGCCCAGACCACTGTTCTTATTATTTCGTTATTTGAGTCAGGGTCTGTTTAAGTAGGCATGACTAACCTGGTATTTCCTATGTAGTTCAAGCTGGTTCTTAAACTCACAGCAATCCTTCCGCCTCAGCATCGTGGGTGCCGGGATCACCACCATGTCTGCCTTCAGGCCAGGTCTTTGCACTCTTCTTCCATTTATTATAGTTACAGTTAGCCTAGGAATTCAAAGTCTTTCTGCAGGCAATCAGAGTTTGCCCTCTGCCCTGGAGCTGCAAGGCAGCTGCTCTCAACCAAGGAGCATGGCTAGAATAACTTTTTCACCAGAAAGCCTTGTGTCTGTGTGGGACAAGTAGGTGGGAGGAGGCAGAGACACACCGAATTCTCTGTTAAGGTGCCCAAGAGAGAGCAAACATTCCCTCAAGCCAAGTTCATTTCCCTAGCACGCGTTATTGGCCAGGCCGCGTCTCACCTCCCTGCTGCAGTGATGTGTATTTAGCCCACATTTGGGTATCTCTGCCTCCCTTCCCACCACAGGGAACCCGAAGACTAATAGTGAAGGCAGAGATGAAGCAGGGTTCCACTCGGGGGAAGAGCTTCACCGTCAGCACACAAAGTGCCGTGGGGGTGGGTCAGGCCCGGGAGGATCACTTTGCCCTGAGAATCCTCTCTGCTCCTTCCCATGCAACTTCCCGGAGCATACCAGCTTTTCATGCTTAGAAACTCCAGGGGGACAGGAGCAAAGGAAGAGTTTGGGTGGCTTTTGTACAGCTGCTCTCCCGGGAAGAGGACAGTGTTCCTGGACACAGTAGGTCCGGGTTCACACTGGTGTTCGGCTAAGCACTCTCCTGAAATCTGTGGCTGTGGCTTCTTTCAAGGAGGGCTTATAAATACCTGCTCTGCGTCAGGCCACTGTAGCCATCTGT